TTATGTTAAAACTTAAACAGTAGGCACCACCATTTACTTCACGCAAATTCAGTTCATAAAATGAAATTTATGGTGGTAAATCTTCTGTTTGGGATGTAAGGAGATATTGGAAAAGGAGGTATTTGAAAGTTGACAGGGAAGAGGCATGACGGATGTTATGTGGCAAAGAATTCCAATAGGAGACGGAGCGGGCTAAGAAGGAACGTTCATAGGTTTTTGTCCTGTGGAATGGAATATAGAGGTCAGAAAGACGGGATCTCGTTTTTATTGAGTGGACTAAGGGTTTAGGCTGGAGGAGACAACAGATATAGGAAGGGTGCTGGGAGTTGATCGTTTGGTATAAGAAATTTCCAAGGAAGTATAGGCGGCGGTAAGAGGGGAAGAGCCACTTTGACTCGGCATATAGGTGGACCATCTCGAAGTGCCGAAGACGAATCTTAAAAAACAGTTCATGATGTTAATTAGAAGTAATGCAGCAGGACACCTATATTCAAAAATAAATGTCGTAATATTTGTTGGGTATAAATAGAATTAAAAATAGTGCTGCACAGCTGCATGCAGAAAAGTGGAATGGAGTCCAAGAGATGAAGATTCTGTCCATACTCCTGATTTTTGGACTCCCACACGGTCTCTTGTCGGATTCTGAGGCATTTATTTTTGTGTAGAGGCTTCCATATAGATTTATTTAAGCTACATGTCCCACCTGTCTTAATCTCCTTGTTTTCAGATCATAAGGTAGTCATTGACCAGCTTCTGTTAGCTGTTCATTATCGGTCATTCTCCACAATGCATTAGTACTCCCACCTCAAATCGCTTCAGATATCATTTGTATCAAATCAATACTTCTTTGCTCAGAGCTGTACACTGTCGTAGTCTCGCAACCATATATTATAACTGGCTTTATCTCCGTTTGCAGTCGTCATAGTTTATCCTCATTGTGACCGTTGGTCATTCATAGATGTTATATCTAATATCTGAAACGATTTTCCTTTTACGGAAATTCTTTATTGGGTTAAGTTTTTCAGCTTGCTGCCATGTATTTAAAAAAAAAAAAAAAAGGAAGTATGTACCACTAACAACCCATGAAGGATCTTGGATTCAGTACCATCTGAGAAAGTACAGTTACAAGACCAACAGTTGTACGGGGAGGTGATTGGGCCGAGATCAGTGATCAACTGCCAGGTTTTCCCCCATAATTACTTAATTAAGAGTACCCACTTTATACAGCCTATGGGTCTTCCGGCACCAGGATCGATCCACGGCTGATAAAAAATTACTAGACATTTATTTAGATTTATTTTATTTCACTTATAGGCCGATTTCCTCTTCTTTTTTAATCAAAGTTTTAGCGAGTTCCTCTAATGTGGCTGTTATGTTTGTTTTATGCAGTGTCAGACGGACGGTTTTGGAAATAAAAGAGACATGACAACCAAAGTTAGAATAGAGTTCCAGAAGTAAGAAATACAGAAATTTAAAACTTTAGAATACATCAGAGGTCTGTTTTCATGAAATTTTGAAAGATCGCTAGTTACTTAGGGTCAGTGCTAAGTTATTATAGAAAGAAGCAGAGAAAATATTGTCTACTAACAGGGGTGCCTATGCATTTTAACGAGGTGTAGAAAAAGATAATTGAATACAAATTGTCGCAAAAGATCAAGGGTTAACTCTCTGAGTAGCGTTTGATGCCGAAGAAATTTAAAATATATTACAGGCAAAGTAGTTCATTATAGATTACTAGATTATATGATTTAATTACTTTCCAGTGGTTATATATAGATATATAGAAAATAAATTTATTATGAGACAAGTGTCCCTTGAGAATAACAAAATTAAAATATTACATATGGCCTAAATAAAATAATTTTAAAAAAAGTAAAGAAAATACTAGGTAAGCATGTTATACAAAAAATAAATAAAACTATATCTAACGTACTTAAAATTATGAAAAGATACTTAAAACTATGTACAGTGATAAACAATTTAAATATACACTTAAGAGAAATATAAAAAATACATTAAATTCTTTTTTAAAATAAGCTATGTGATTTTCTTGAGAAAAAGAAAGCTAAATTTAAAAATATAAAATGACGGAGTACTTAAATTCTGAATAATATATAAATACATCATCATCATTTCTTAACGCAACGACAGATAAAGATTTAATTGTGTGTAAAAAAATAATAGTTGATGCAAGTAGTGTAAAAAAAAAACAAACAGTAGATGCATTCAGTGGCATCGAGAGTAGGAAAATCTTGCTATATGGTAGAAGATATCATCGGTTTATTACAAGAAGTCACTACGTGCATTTTTTACATTTATTTATCGATACGAAACCACTGTACGGGGATGAAAATTAAACCAATCCTTTTATACATCAAATATAGTTACAACAAGTGCACATTTTTCTAAAATTCACAAGCACAAGTTTAAAGTTCTTAACTATTTAAGGATATGTAACGTCACTTAATGACGTTTTGCAATAAGCCGACGATATTATAGGAAGATGTAAATCCATGCTTGGAGAAGACAGTCCACCAGGCTATGGCAATGACCAGCTCCAATATGTTTTATTCATCGAGGCTTTGTCTTCCAGAGGCCACAATCTAATTTTCGTCACATTTAAATATATATAACCACCCTTTGCCTCCAGCTGTCCAATAACGATGAATAATTTACTGCATAATTACCTGACAAAAAAAAAAAAAAAAAAAAAAGGTGAAACGAGAAAGATTAAGCTCCTTTGTTTACCCCATCGCTAAACAGCTTTTCAACTTAACGGCTCTTATTGTTGTATTAAAGCTCGTAATGACTTTATCGAGCTTGAGTAGGGTGCATTCGAGTGGGAAATTCATAAGGGATCTACAAAGCATTTTAAATAGGTTTTTATAATTAGGAGTTAATTTTGCCTTAAGGTTCAGCTTCCACGATCTCACCTTTATCGCAGCCGATGAATGCTATTCTAGGAGTGCCTTGACTAGAGATCAAAACAGCGCGACACCGAGGAATAATTAATTTGTGATTAATAAGAGTTAATTAGCCAGCTCAAAAGCTCGTTTAAAACTTACTTTCAGTCTCTCAGAAAGAGACTTAATACGCTTTAGAACTAAGTTAAAAACTTGGCTGGAAAGAGATTGTTTGTTTATGATTAAAAGACGTTTTAATGGTTTCTAATTGCTGGTTGGTATAAAGGAGCTGTTATGGGTAATGTAAGAACATTTTTTAAAGACATAAGAAAACACAGTACATATATTATGTCGCATTAAATATTTACTATGAAGGGTTCTGTACTTTGTAAGGAAGATTTGTTTAAACTCCAACGGTTGGCAAGGGCGATGACTGGTCTAAGATAATTCTCAACCACCAGGTTTTCTCCCTTAATTAATGATTTAAGTAAAAATACTTTATAGAGGTTGGTTACGTCCTATGAGGGTATTCCAACTCCAGGGTCAATCGATAATAATAAACAAAATAAATAATTTTCTGCCAGAGCCGGACTTTAACCTGGATCCTTAAGACTAAAAGAACAGTGCCTTACTCACAGTGCTACCCTACTCTATATTTTATATTAGTTAAATGAATTACAGGAATAAATATTGGCAGAAAAGAATTCATTAAGAAAACTAGGATACCCTCTGTTCATTTAATTGTATTACTCGTTGCCACTAGCGGATCCAGGATTTAATTTTGGGAGGAGCTTCAGCCCGAAAGCTTTTTTTTCATAAAAATTACGATAATTACTTTGGAAAAAAAGAAAGAAACTAACTACCTGTATGAAATGTTGTTTAAGTGATTCCTAAAGCCCTTTTAATATTAATCACAGGAACAAGAATACTTTAAGAGTTACTTTTTTAATATTTTGTTCGATAAAACATGGTTATATTTTTCCATTTGGGGAGGGGCTTCAGCCCGAAAGCCTCCCCCCGTAGATCCGCCCGTGCTCGTTGCTCAAATTTTATATCTTTAATTAACACGTATTCTGTAGTTCAGATTGTATTATTTTTTACCAACATAAAATAAACAGAATGAAACCACAGTTCGGACAAATATTTAATTTCTTTAAAAACCTATATTACACCTTATTGTCAGTTTATATTATTATATAACTATAACTCTTCGTATTGCCAATTCGTAACCATAATATATATTCAACTTGTCCAGCTTCATATAAGCCCTAATTCTTTTTATATTGCTCGAATTGTACTTTACATTGTGCTTACTTTTCTATTTCATTATAATTATAATCATATCACAATATAATATAATAATTCATATATTTTATTCAAGGAGGATTGTCTGGATTGAAAAATAACTGTCACATAGGTTAAATCAAACAACCACCTCCAGATAAATACCATTTCCCGTACATTTTTTTAAATCTAAAATCTTTATTTTGTATTAGGAGAGTAGAAGGTAGTAGTTCAACAAATATTTAATTAATTGAACGGCTGCATTATTTGTAAAATAATCTTCATAGGAAAGCAGTAACACTTGAGCTACTGTTACCTCTTACTCTCCTAATACCAAAATAAAATATGAAAGTCACTAAAAACTTTTTTATATAATAGAGAGAGATGGAATCATAAGTGGAACATTGATGGAGTTTTATTTTATTGATTTTTCGATAACGGAGAATTTCTCAAGCATGTGTGCAAAAGTTGTCCATTTAAATAATAAATGAATAAATTAATTTATACAGTAGATATAATTAGGATGTTTGAAGTTGAAGCTCGGCGAAATCGAAACAAGTTAGTTGGAGGTAGTTGTGACCAAAGCGGCGGGACAATGACAGGCTATCGTCACCCCACCCTCACTTCCAGCTAATAAACAAAGATATCAAAACTTATTCCTATCTCCCTCTCTCTTGGAGTACTATTTAGACTATTCAGTTCTCAGTTGACCTTATGTTTCGTAGCAGGTGACTGGAATTAAATACGCAATATTAGGTGGACCGGTAAGCAATGTCGTTTTCTTCTACATCTAATTATATTTTCTCATTACAGATGGAGCAGAAACAAAATATTTCTCATTGGATTACCTCGAAGTATTCCGAAAGTCTCTCGAAGAACCGGAGGTACTATGGGGCGAAGTAGGATCATTGCTGCACTGGTATACACCATGGACCAAGGTTCTGGACAACACGGATGAACCATTCACGAAATGGTAACAAAGCTACATGATAATAACAAGTAATTATTATAAGTGACTTTTAAAGATCGATTCAAATTCGTAGGGCACGTCTAAAAAGCTCAAAGATTTGTAATAAGTGTTCAAAATTTTAGTTTCGTCGATAATACGGTCTTTTAGGAGAGTATGAATTCTCCTCCTTCTCTCAAGTTATTACATGTAAAGAGTAATGGTTGGTACTCAATCGATCCAATTGGTGATCCTATTATAGAGCTATGTTGCGCACAATACGATTATCACAGGGTCTGGTGCATAAGCACAACTGAGGGATGAAGGGGAATTAGCTCAGCTCTGACCGTCACTAATGTCAACACAACGGACAGGTCAAGCAACGGTCAGATTTAACGCTTGATAATGCCCTGGAAATGTGATACGGCCTTTAAAATATTATAGGTTCATAAGTAACAGCTTAGTGAGCAGTTATGATTTTTAATTCTATTCTAAAAATAACAAAACACTATAGCTCCAGACGTAGGCGCAGACTTCGAGGGAGGGCGAGGTGGATGATCACCTCCCAATAAAAATAAAGAAGGGGCTAGAATATCATTCCGTCCGCCGTTCCTTCCAATATTTCAAAGAATAAAAATAAAAATAAAATAAAATAACAATTAATGATTGAATAAAATATGTAAATTAAAATCAATTAGGAAAAAAAGTCAAAAGGAAAAGTCAACCATATTGCTCCAGGCCTTATGTTTCTATTCTATTTTACAAAGTCATCCACTAAATTTAAAAATTAGTACTCACTTCGAAACATTATAATTAATCATGATAAATCACAACATATAACATTTACACATTGACGAGAGACCGACCTACCAGTTTATATCAGCGAAATTGCTCAGACGGGCACAATATATTATCTTGAATATCTTGAACTAATATGTGGTTATATGTGGAACTTCATATAACCTCAACCTTATTAAACCCATTAAAAAAGAAGTCATACCAGAAGAACTAAGATCGTTTGCTCTTGAAACGATTGCTGAACTTTATCCAAGCCCTCCGTGGATTCATGTGTACACCGATGGCTCTGCCGAACTAGCAACACACAATGTAGGAGCAGGTGCGTACTATCAACTGTTTGCTTTTTCGAAACCGGTTGGGAAATGTGCGACATCAAATTTCGAAAGCGAAATAAGAGCCAATTTTATTGGCACTGCAAGCTTTGTCACACTTAGATGCCAAAAATCTCGTGCAAAGGCGGCTATTCTCGCTGTGTCACGGCCTAATCACTCCTTTGCTCATGATATTCTGAAGTGCCAAAAGATCATAGAGGAACTACTTCTTCAAAGAACAGAGGTATTCTTTCCGTGGATACCAATTCACTGTGGTCTCCATGGAAACGAAATGGCTGATAAACTCGCTAAGGAGGGTTCTACATTGAACCAGCCAGGAAATAGAATATCATATCATAGAGCCAAAAAATAAATAAATAAAAGAAAGTGAGGCTCTACTACTGTATTCCTTAAAGAGCTGTATTGCGGATAATCTATGGAGATAATTGTTAAATGAAGCGGACCGAGATCCCATGAATCTACCGAGAAAGGAAGCTGTGGCAGAGTTCCGGATGATAACAGGTCATGACTACCTTAAAAAGCTCCTGTATAGAATAGGAGTGACAGAATCTTCACATTGTAACATATTTAGTTCGGAATCACATATGAACGCAGCGCATTTAGGAGTATGTGGAGTATGCTCACGCTTGGTGAACATAATAGATACCACGTCGTCCAAATCGGAATGGTACTGGGCTGCGAGATCTCTGATGGCGGCAGCCGACATAGAGAGATATAATTAAAAAAAAAAAACTTGAGCACATTTGGACAAACACTTTACAGATATATGGTTCAAAAAAAAAGACAAAAGCTACAATATTTTTAAGCCAAAATTTTAAGACAATCAACTATATATTAGGTAACCAATAAAGATTTACTAACTTACGACAACCAATTACCGGCCACTTACAATTATGTACTCTTTACTCCGGATATCATTTTAACCGACGCGGACACAACAATAGACTAATAAATGACTCTCGATTAATTACAATAACAACAAAACTAATATTGATAAAAATAATATACAGAAAAGCTTTTCTCTAGTGTTAAATAAACAATCATAAAATAAACAAAATTAAAATAAGAATTCCTCCAGTTATTTTGACATAATAAATCAAAGAAAACGAACCCATAATAATAATAATACCGATTATAAAATTAATACTCCAAGGGGTGCCCAAAAGGGGAGAGGCGCAAGTTGTGCCATCAAAATTTTTGTGAGGTACAGATTTCAATTTTTGAAGGAGACACCTTTCGACGGGGTTATGAATTTTCGAAATGAAAACTTTCAAATCAAATGACAAATGGAAGCATGAAAAAGACTGCCGGATGTGAAGTTGTATATAATCTACGATTTTTTAAATTATACTTTTGTTTACACTTTTTTTAAGAAGAGGATAGCAAAAAATTATTTGTGGGTGGGGATAGGTTCATGCGCCAACGATCTTGGGGGAATCGGCACCCCTGATTAGTCCTGCTACCAACTTAAAACGAAGGATGAGGGAAGGAGGAGGACTCTTAAGCAGTAAGCTTATGCCGCCATTAAACAAAAACCAGGAACAGCTGATGCTATGTACTATTCTTTCTCATGGAAAATGGCATCTTCTAAATTTAACAAAAAAACGTCTGCATATTGTTAAATTCATGTAAAGAGGAAAAAAACGACCACAAGATTATCTATAGAACTTAATTTATGACAGAACATTGAACAAACAAAAACCTAATTTAAATTATACATTGTTCACGGTTTATGATTACATCGTTCTGAACACCAATTAGGATGATTTGGCTTTCGTTACCTCACACTCAATATATATCATCCCACATTAATTACCGAGAAGCGTGGAGATGCTTTGCCATTGTTATCAATACTAAAACAGGCAAGAACGTTTGAATAGTACATGAATGTTAAAGACATGCAGTATTAAGACTATAAGTTAAAAAATATATAATTCATAAATTTAATATAGTAGTTGAAATGTGATAATATGTCTAAGGTTTGTCGGAGGAGAACTGAACGCGTGCTACAACGCAGTGGATAGGCACGTTGAAGCCGGTAAAGGGAACAAGACTGCGCTGATCCACGACAGCCCCCTGTCCAATGTCGTCCGGAGGGTCACCTACTCGGAACTACAGAAGAAGGTAACATATTAAATCGTCGATCAACTAGCAGCGCAATTGTTAACATCCATACTCTCACATAGGTCTCAGTATGTAGCTCGTCCAAGTCAAGCCCCATATAAAAGTTTCCTCTTTCCTGAGGTGTTAGGGTTCATCTCTATCCTCATCTCTGTTTACTATTTACACTAACGACCTTCCCCTTCTGATCCATCACTCCTAATATCATATGTGATTTCCAAATGCGCCTGTACTTCCCGCCTTGCGATCTGTTATCTTTCACAAAAACCTCAGGAGAACTTGAGTACGATCTGTGATTGGTAATAATAATAGTAATAACTAGTTGGCCTGTGCGAAAAATTCGCAGACAATTTTGTTCAGTGAAGAAATAGCAAAACAATATGGAAATAAGTAGTTTCTATGTATTACGTAAGGAAGGAATTAATAATTTTTTTTTGTCGATTACAATATTCCATTAAACATAATAGACCAAAATATTTATACAAATTGCTTTGCTAGGACCTATTTTTAAACGCTGACTGGGAAGATAATAAAAGCAATAAAGACAAAATAATGCCCCGATCATACGATATTCTAAATTATTAAAAAAAAAAATCTAAGAACAACCAAATGTCTTTAAGAAATAATAAAGTGTAGTAGACTATTCTACTCCTAAATGCAATATCTTTAAATAGGAAGACATAATTAAGTATACCAAAACTAATGGACTGTATCTTTGTTAATAATTGTCCGATTTATTTTTGTTTTGTAGGTAATTTAGTGATCTTTCTAATTATAAGGTGTAAAACCAAGAAAAAAATGAATACTTTTTCAGTTATTCGCAAATAAAGTTTCTTTTCCTCCATAAATTTTTTTCCAGAAATCTCGGGGGTTGGAACTATTTTTCGCATGTGAAAGAGAATAATATCTTCAAAATGAGTGGTCAATCATTTGATTTAATGAAGAATTGACGAAGTTATGGCGTACCGACAAAAAACCACCTTTTAGAAATAATTTATAGGATGACTGGTAAACTTGAATGCGAAAAATACGAAGGTTATTTCAACCTCTTATAATATAATTAAACTCTTACCATTATTCGAAACATTTGATTAAATTATTCCAATAAAAATGAGAATTGTATGATTCATCCTCGGGATCCCGCAGGACGCTTAAGTATTTAGTTTTTATGAAGAATTGAGGGGATTTTATACTTTTTACCGACGTTAGTATTTCCTGGCGCCCCTTTACGATTCCGTTTACAGCCGGAATACCCGTTCTCGGTCTTCAGATTTATGAACTCCAGAACAACGAACCATGGCTTTCGATAGATCTTTCAGTGTGCGATACTCCTCTCAAAGAAATTCTATGTCTTCCTATATCCATGGCTGTGATAACCCCCTATCTTTAAATCCATCATATTCAGTCACTTCCTATCCATTAATTTCAACCAACAATATAAGTATGCATATAAATTGTTTGTTATAAATTATAATTATCACAGAAAAGTTTTTATGGATGTCTGGTTTATTTATGGTGTAATATCTTTATCAAACATCCACTGAAACTTACTTCCGAAAGTGTTTTCATCTGATTTCAGGTATCTCTACTGGCTGGGGCACTAGCGAGGAGTGGGGTTAAGATGGGGGATAGAGTGGTGATATACATGCCAATGATACCGGAGACAATCATGGCTATGCTGGCTACTGTCAGGCTTGGAGCTATCCACTCTGTCGTCTTTGGAGGTATATTTTTCAGTTGGATTTGTTTTTTGGATCAGAAGTCATCTGTCGTGGAAGGAATTCTATTATATATGCCTTTATCGTATGTTACCAACGCCAATCAGCAAGTACGATCGAGTATAGTAGAAAAAATTTTCGAAGTTACCCGATTAAATGCTGCATCGGTTCGATTCGAGTGTCAGTCAGTATTTATTTTATAAAGACTTGGGAAATAAATTTTGGCTTTGTTATCCTGGAGAGAAAAGATTAACAAGTTCCAGGTGACTAATACAATAGTCTCTATTATATCAGTAATGTAAAATATTCAGAAGATGAGATGCTTGTCTTTGCCATTATGTGATTAACATTGAAATATTCACCTTTTACAAACAAGAGAACAGAATATATGCACAAGCATAAGTCTCCCGATTCCTCTCCTACTCTGGTACAAGACCATGTATTCAAGTTTCCACAATTTCATTTATTTATGTTTTCTAGGTAACCAAAACCTCAGTAGACGAAAAAAAAAAACACGTTACAATCTACCTCTTAGAGGTAAAGTTCACGTAACCTTTAGTACATTTTAGTTTAAGATACCAAAAGTTACGTGAACTTAACCTCTAAGTGGTAGGTTGTAACGTGTTTTTTTTTTTTGTCTACTGAGGTTTTGCTGCTGCCTAAACATACCCATATTCTAACTACTACTCAATTATTGGGTCTCTGAACTAATTTATTAGATCATTCATTAATACTCATTCTAGCTCCCTACTACTTTTTACTTTCACTTACTATATATTTCATATATAGTAATGGAAAGTATTTTGATCTTGAAAAATTTCTTCCTCTAGAATACTTTTATTTTTATTTATTTAACAAAATTAATCAGTTAACATTGTAAATGGTAATAAGAAATGGTTGCATATAAGCTGTGAAATTTTTTTATTAATAGCTAAAGTATAAATAAGGAATGGTATTGAGGGTCCGAGAATATTATTTTATCTGATGAACTAGATATTTTGAGTCCAAAGTGTCAAAACAACCAATCAACCAATCTATGAATGAAAAGACCTATTTTTAAACGAATCAGGGTGATGAGTGAACGTTGTGTTGTATTTGTATCGTACCAGAGTTTTTACACTTCATTTTACAGTTACGACGAATGAGGAAATTATTATTACATGTAATATAATGAGGGCTTTCCTCACTAATGGACTGCAATTTAATGAAGTCCAAACACAATATAAATAAACTTCCCTAAGAAGTCTAATATTTTAATATTACGATGGAATATAATTTTTAACGACCCATTTGGATGTTGCTCTCTAATTAGTGGAGTAATTTTCTTCAACTAATGTACAACTAGCCTGCATCAATCAGAGGCTGATTACCACCTTAATGCCCATCGCTATTAGTAAATAGTTCAGTGAAAGTTGGCATGATAATTATTACATTCTTAATTCTTGCTTTACAGAATTGCCTTCTGAGCTTAACGAAGCAGTTATTACAGACTGTTTTCATACTCTTAATTAATAATAAATTCACGAAATTCTAAAGGATCTAGGGAAAAGGTAGTCGGAGAGAACTGGTGTCAAATAAATATATCTATATTACAGATTAATAATTCAATAATAATTATCATTATAATCATTATTACGCACTAGGCACGACTAAAATTTCTGTGAAAACAAAATTAGAAAAATATAACATAACTTTTATTCGAGATGTTAACCAAAAAATGGATGACTATTCCATCCTTAGAGAGGTGGAAGATTTGAATACATTGAGACTACTTAAGGTTAAACGCACAGTGGAGTGATGATGCAAGCTAAGATTATCGCAAAGGTATAATGCAGATCAAATGAAATGAAAGTAAGGAGATAACCACACAGCACATAGTGTGGCAATAAGAGCGACAACTATCCCACGTCTTTCGCCATGTTCACAAAAGTATTTCATTGAAAACATGATCCATTATCCTCTGACACAAAAAATAAAAAGGAAGACTGCGTCTGTCACCTAAACCAATAGTCGGCTAATTCTGACTTGCGAGCTTCATGAGTACAGATGAGTCATGCAAAGCACAGGCGGATCTACGGGGGGGAGGGGAGCTTTCGGGCTAAAGTTCTCTACACCCCCAAGAATGGTACAATATAACCATGTTTTATGAAAAAAATTGTCTCTATAAGTATTATTGTTGGACTAATTACATTTAATAGGACTTAAAGAATATCTTTAACACCATTTTATATAGATAATTAGTTTCTTTCTTGCTTCCGAAGTAATTATCCTAATATATAACAACAACAAAAAAAAGCTTTTGGGCTAAAGCCCCCCAAAATTAAATTCTGGATCCGTATTGACGCAAAGTATAATACAGTATATTACTCACATATAAGCCTTTCAGTTGACAGAATGAGAACTGTAATATATGCTAATTCTATTAAATAAATAAAGATATAAATTTTCCCATTAGAAACATCACTAAAATTAATAATAAAAATGTTGAAATTGGAGTTAGTCATTATGTCAACTGAAAGGCTCATATAATGTAATCTTTGTAATTCATAAATAATTTGTTTAAACATAAATGAAGTTTTATAATAATTTTCTTTTCCTTAGTCGATTACAATTACCGATAGGACGTAGTGAAAAATAGGATGTTTCTTCATCTTATGATACGTTTAATTATTTAATTTCCTTATTATTTTATCATTTGTTCACTGACTGATATTCTTTGCGAATTATTCGCAAGAGCCAATTAGTATATCATATGAATATATTATTTGAAAATAAGTAATAAGTTTAATTAGGTTCTACGTTTGTTTCCAGGATTCGCCGCAAGGGAACTGAGTACGAGAATAGACCACGTAGAACCAAAAGTTATAATTTCTGCTAGCTGTGGTATTGAGCCCAACAAAATAATCAGGTATGAGAGAGGGTTCTGATTAATCAACCTTATTTCATTTTTAATGTTTTGGGCAATATTAGGCACCTAAAGGATTTTCATTAGAGTTTTCTTGAAGATACAAGGACATCCTGAACGAGGCAATAAGACTGTCCACTTGGAAACCGAGGAAGGTGATCTTGTTCCAACGAAGGGAGGTGGAGTGCTGCCCCCTCGACCACCCGCGGGACGCAGACTGGGAAGAGGAACTGGCCAATGCGGAGCCACATCCTTGTGTACCGGTGGAATCCAACCATCCTCTCTACATTCTCTACACATCCGGAACAACGGGTATAATAATTTATAATAATTAATAATTTTGTGAGATGGCTCTAATCTTTCAGCGGCTCGAGTTGAATATAACAAACTTATAAAGTCAATGCTTTGTACATAACTAATCTGAATGATTGATATCCGTCTGGTATAATACCTTGTACCATTGATCAGGCCAGCCGAAGGGGATCGTCCGCCCCACTGGGGGTCACATCGCCACCCTCGCCTGGACGATGAAGGCCATCTACGGTATCTCAGGGGACGACGTGTGGTGGACAACCTCAGACATGGGATGGGTCGTCGGCCACAGCTACATTTGCTACGCCCCCCTGACTGCCGGGGTCACGTCAGTTATGTACGAAGGCAAGCCCGACAGAACTCCTCATCCTGGCCAGTACTTCAGGTAGGCAATTTAGTTCAACTTAAAGTCTAAGATTATATTATAAGGTTATGAATTCATTGGATTGTAATTTTTCAGAATAATCCAGGAGCATAAGGTTACCGCAATTATCACTGCCCCTACAGCGTTGCGAGTAATAAAGAAAGTCGACCAACATTTGCAATTCGGAAGTAACTACTCAACGAAATCGTTAGTTAACTTTTTTCTCATATGAGTTCCTTTCTATCATTATCCCATATTTACATAAATGACTATTTAAAGCAAATTATATGTTTCCATTAATGAATTACTTCACATCTAGGCTTCGACACTTGTTCGTAGCAGGTGAGCATTGCGACTATGAAACAAAGCAGTGGGCGGAAAAAGCGTTTAAGGTAAGATGAGATTTTTCAGGTCATATTTCCTGATTCGTATTTTGTAAATACTATGTATGAACGAAAAAAATAAAATAAAATAAGAAAAAGTAAAGAATATAAAGCTATTTCTTTCAGGTTCCAGTACTGAACCATTGGTGGCAAACCGAGACAGGGCATGCTATAACCGCCAACTGCGTAGGCCTTGGTCACTCGCTACAGCCTCCCAAGTTCACAAGTGGTTTTCCCTTCCCTGGTTATGACGGTGAGTAAGGAAATCTTCTATCGTCAGACGTCGCAGATTCTCTATAATGACCGTTTGATTTTTCTATTTGCAGTGAAGGTCCTGAGAGAAGATGGATTGGAATGTTCCTGCGGCGAACAAGGCAGGATCACGGTCAAACTGCCACTGCCTCCTGGGACGATGGCCACGCTCTACAAGGACACTCAGAGGTTCTTAGCCACCTACTTCTCAAGATATCCAGTAGGTACATTTTAATAATTGTAATAAAAGGGTTAACGAGCCCGAAGGTTCAATGTCGATACCCCCCCATGCCCGATGCCGTCAGCCAAACGTACCCCAGGTGCACCTTGATCTACACATCGCAAATTTAACTTTCGGTCCAGCACTAGTTAACTTTTTTCGGAACCTGATTGTTATCAAGCTCAAAATCTTCGCATTCCTATTTTCACCGCCATGCTTTTACGACTGTTACATTAACTGCAGGAATATTAAGCTATCCCGAGCTATCTAGCTTGCTAAATTCAGTTGAACGGGGCCAAACATTTACGAAATAAATTATTTTCGAAAATTCTAATGTGTTATTCTTCCTTATAAGTTGATAGCTATATTTCGCAAGCTTGAATAATAGTTGAAAAAATAATAATTTTTTTAATATTTACTTTACGCTTATTAAAAGCATATGTGCAGGATGAGTAATTTTACAACGGAGAAAGGTTTCGATTAAAATATATAATAGTAGTAACCTTGTTTTTATTAACAGATGTGATCGATTGAATTTCGGCGCCTTAAAGAAGCTCTTTTTTTCCGATTATAATAAAATCAATAAGAAAATTGCGAACCAAGTAGTTGTGTTAGCAATATTGACTTTCTTGATTCTATTCTAAATCTACTTCCCCAAATCTACCCATCGCAGCTCCAAGATATGTTAGATTTCACACCACTTCCAAAAGCCATCGCAGGAACAACATATATTTTCTTGGGGTCTGAAAACACTTTTAAGATACAGTCTTTTGAGTTCTACCAATGGGTAGTTTCTCTTCATGTTGTCCATGCCATGTTACAAATTTCTCATTTACTTATTGTATTCTCTATGTAATACAGTTGTAAATTCCATTGAAATAATAAAAAAAAAAAAAAAAAAAGATACAGTCTCCAACACTGTCATCACCACCTATGCCGATGACACGTGTATCCTATCAGTTAATAACGATCCATCTATTGCATCCCAAACTCTTCAATCACACATCACAAGCCTTGAAAAATGGTGTCAAAACTAGAGGATTAAAATAAATTCCAATAAATCCCATCAAATAACCTTCACTCTTCGTCGTAAACCTATGACTTCCTGTCCTACAGTATCCTTCAACAATAGCCCTCTTATCCCTGTCGAACAAATCCGATACTTAGGACTTCAACTTGACAAACGACTCACTTGGAACCCCCATACAAGACTGAAACGACTAGAAACCGCCCGACGTTTTCGACTACTGCAGCACTTACTAGACAAACGATCTAAGCTTTCAATCAATTATAAACGACTAGTATATATGACAATAATAAGACCTATTTGGACTTACGGAATTGAGCTTTGGGGCTCCACTAAACCATCGAATTCCTCTCGTATCCAATCCAAAATCCTTCGTAAAATCCTCAACGCTCCTTACTTTGTCACAAATAAAATCATCCATAAAGACCTTAATGTTCCATATGTTTCCGATTAGGCCCAATCCAGATACCTGTCCTTCCATAACAAACTGCAGAACCATCCGAATCCTCTCGTTTCAAACCTTGCTTCCTCCTCGATCCCTGATAACCCTCCGAGGCGTCTGAAAAGAAGATGGCCTCGGGATCTTCTAATATAGAACTTTAATTTGAGTTCTACCAATGGGTAGTTTCTCTTCATGTTGTACATGTCATGTTACCAATTTCACATTTACTTATTGTATTTTCTATGTAATACAGTTGTAAATTCCATTAAAATAATATTAAAAAAAAAAGCCGGACTTACGGCCCTCACCTTTTCAATTCTTCACAGCCTGTTGAAATCTCTCTGAGGTATCATAAGTGAATATATGAATTATACAACAATCGACAACAGATTTGTTTGGCACAGGGATGCCCATCTCCCCCAAGATCGATGGCGCAAGAACCTACCTACCCCTTTCCACCCAAGATATTTTATTACTCAGCTTTCCTTAAAAACAGAGGTAAAATTAGAAAAATCGCAGATCATATATAATTACACTTGCTGAGGTATGTTTCATATTTTCCCTTGCCCTTAGTCAAAAACTCATAGCACTGCCGAAATTTCAAAATCCCGTCAAAATATACCCTGCAAAATATAAATTCGGGCATCCCTGCATTGGGACACAACTACCCTACGAAGGTAATTTCATCCATAAACATGCTGAAGATAGTTTTAGTGAGTTGCCTCGTTTGACTCCTATTTCTATGTTTAGCACCTTTGATCCCTTAACATTCAGAGACTTATTTCCATTCGGTTATTGATATGTTAATTTAATGGTTTCAATTAGGACAAGTCACGATGAAGGAATATACGTCTATGATTACTCCGGTCGCTCTGAATCCTGGTCTTTTGGTTGTGTTTTTAACCCTAAATTACCATTCGTTTTTATTTCTGTCAGTTTGGATGGAATTCTGAAGAAAATTGCTCATTTTCAGTAACCAATTTGGAGTGTAGATGACCCCATTCTTAATTAAAGTTCATACAAAATACGAACATTCAGTAAGGATTCATATTGTTTTTTTGAAATTTCAGTACTTCTGACGTGACCTTCCTCGTAGGGTTGAGCAAGATATTTCTGTATTGAATAAGGATAATGGGTTTTGATGATTGTGTTGAATTAGTTATGGCTGTGATGTTTGAAACATCTAATTGAGGAATGCAAAAACCTTCTAGAATAAAAATATTTTAATTTTAAAAAACACTATTTAAAGCATTATTTTTATTTTTATTTATCTTTTAGTCTTCAAATGTGTATTCAATAGAATCAAAATAAAATAATTAAATATATTTTAGCTAGGACAAAATATATATCAAGTCAAGACGTTACAAGGGAGAACTATTTAAATATTCCCGCGCTGATTAATTTCAACCAGCAAACCGAAGGACTCATTAATATTCTTATAAACATCTTAATATAATGAGAAATGCTAATGTACAATATTAAAACAATAATGATCCGCATTAGGATAAAGCGTCCATTGTTATAATAATTTATTATGTGTAAATATCTGGGTTAAAATTTCCATATCGCTTAGATTTTGTAGGCTTTTTTTCTCATTTGTTATGGTCCATTTCTAATTGTCTGTTATGATCATATCTAATATTAGTTACCCATGCATTGTTTTAATATCTCAACTTTATTATTGCTTATCTGTCATCTTGCTGAATAATCTAACATCCATTCTCTTCCCAAGGGGTATTACGACACCATGGACGCTGGGTACAAAGATGAAAACGGTTATGTTTACGTGACAGCCAGGGATGACGAGGTGATAAACGTGGCCGGCCATCGCCTGTCCACCGCAGCACTGGAGGACGTAGTCTTGCAGCACAAGGACGTCGCGGATGCTGCCGTCGTCGGAGTACCCGAGGCAACCAAGGGAGAAGTTCCTTTGTGCCTCTATGTAATGAAGCCAGGTAAGTCATAAAAGCTTTAGGTGGTAAGTCATTGAAAAGCTAGCCGCAGACACCGGAGTGGCAAGCCACTTTCTGTTTCCTCTCTCACTCCAATATTTTATGAAAGTGAGCCAGCGATATTTCCCTGGTTGCCCCACCCTTAGGCCGCCACTTTCCATCCAAATAATAAACTAAAATACAATTTAAAACAATAAGGATACAGATCCTCGCTAAAAATGGTCCGATTTGGATGTTTTTTTTTTCGTTTTGTAGGAAATTCGGAAACCTTTCAAACTCTATTTGCAATATTAATGACACCATCACTGGTGGATCTAAAAAGGAACATTTGGGCTGAAGCCTACACTACAAAAAATGGAAAAAATGTTATTGTTTTCATTGATCTGTACTTGGTACTTTGAGTGACCTAAGCTAAATACTAAAAAAATCACAATATGTTCTGTTTCGAAATAATATACATATACAGCTACATAATATAATCACAACTTATAAAAAAAAAAAATGCTTCTTCCAAAAATCTGTAGTGCCGAAAGACAAGGAAAGATGATAATAAATAAATAAAAAATCTTATGAAAAAATATTAAAGCATTGTGCCCAAAAGTATTACTGTTCATGTAATTAATTTTTTAATAGGACTTCAAGAATCACTTAAATACCATGTCTTGCCTTGGTAGACAAGGAAGGAAGGCATAAATGACAATACTAACTGAAGGATGTCTAAACTTTCTTCTACTGCTCTAAATTCAATAATGGAGCTAATAAGCACCATGACTTAGCATTGAATAAAGACAAAAATAAAAAACTTTTAAAAGTCATAAAGATATTTTTATTCCATGGTGCCACATTTCGAATCTAAATTACTTTTCTCTTAATAAAGTTCCTCTAAATCTCTTAATTGTATGTTCCTCTGTCAATCTATCTATTTAGCATCCTTAAATGGTGGGTTGTGGTAAGACAAACTTACTGGCTTCTGAAATTGGTAATCATTTTTAAAAGGAAATTCTGAAACTTTATTTTTTTAAGTATAACTGGAGAAATACAGATTGTTTTGGTAGTATTAATATCGGCTAGAATCTAATTATAATTTGATATTTTAATTGGTTTCAGGTTGTAAATCAACGGAAGAAGAAACTAGTGTAGCATTAGTTAACATGGTTCGTAGACTTATAGGTCCAATAGCAGCGCTTAGACAATGCGTTGCAGTCTCTGCCTTGCCGAGAACTAGAAGTGGTAAAACAGCGAGAAAATCTATAGCTGATATGGCCAGGGACAAACCAGTTAAGGTATGAGTTCAGTATAAAGCAATGCTAACAGAACTACAAATGCCATAAACGAATTGTCTCATACCTTTTTGCTAAATTATTATATTCATATTTAGTAGTAATTTTATTTTTAAAAATCAGCTATTTATTATTTATAAAATAAAATTAATTTTTTGATAATATATTTTTTTTCAGATATCAAGCACAATTGAAGATCCTAGTGTGTACAAAGAAATCAAAGCTGCTCTTCAAAAAGTTGGTTATGCAAAAGCTGCTCCAGATCCCCAATAGGACATTTTATTACATTAATCAAAAAATATCTCTATCTCGTCCACACAATTCTTTTTTAATCATTAGTAATCCTCATGAGCTAAAATATTCAGTATTTTTTCTTTATTTTCATATGATTGATTATAATAATGTTCTATACTAGTCATAAACAAATATCTTAATATAACTCGTAGAATTCTTTCTCAATTATATTCCAAATAATATAGCTATGAGAATAAATCCTAACAGAGTTTTCCCGATATTTTTGTTTGATATAATAAGGCTTTGAAGTTCGATTTCTTTGCAATGCTGTGATACTAATTATCTATGAATTTATAATTTATTGCATAAAATTAAAAAAACTTCCACTCAGCTAAATCGTCATATTTATGTTTTCTCCAGATTTTATGAGCAAAAAAACATTTAAAAACCAGTGCAGGAAAAAATATACAATAGTTTTCAATAAGATTTCTACATCCAAATTAAATGTCATAACCGCTAGATAAGAGTAAATGTCCTTCCTGTAGTAACGTTTTTCTTTTTAGTAATTTATGAAAGTGAAGCATATTTTCATTAGATTAATTGTTCTATATTATATAAATTATATTTATGTTTCATAATAAATGGTATTTAATTAAAACATAACTAACCGAGTGTACTTCATCTCCTCAAATCTTATATATATACGTATGAATGTATAATATTATCAATAATTATTGTATACATTTTTATATAAATTATAGATTTTTTTAAAATAAACTTTTGATGATAATAAATAATTTTAAAAAAGGTTAGGTTCAATATATCAGATATTAACATCAAGTTTGGTTATTTTCACATCTAAGACTTTACTGTAGAATAGTAAAATCATATGTATTGAGTTCAAGTTCCATTGAGCTAAAGCAAGACAAGAACTGCTACCAGTGGAGGGGAGGGGAAGGACTAGTCCAATAAGTGGGCCCTATCATGGTCCTTTTTGCCAACTCCTGAAGGCGACCTTAAGGTTGCTACCGCATAATTACCAGAGTGGGATTTTCATGATCCATTGCCCGAGGCTGTCGAATAAGGTAGGAATTGAACCCAAAACATTCAGAATTGGTCACTCTGAGGCCTACGCTCCAACCTGCTCAACCATTCCCTACCTCAAGACAAGATTAAGATATCAAAATCACAAGTCTCGATCAACCAAGATTTTCTTCCTGAACTAGGAATGTTCTATAGAAGAAACACAAGTTAATAATTTCTGTGTTAGAAAAATAAGTCATATTGTAATCCCCAGCACCTGGGACTCCATACAATAAAATTGAGTGAGGGGAGGCTCAAACAGCTAATTAATTGAACTAATAGGTTACCAAAAACAATTGTGATAACTTTGTAATAATTTTATATTATTTTTGTGTTCAAGTTTTCAATAAAGCGTGTACGATAGATGTTCATGTTGGTCCAAGTGTTCCAGAGTGTCCATCGTGGAATGTTGTGGGTTCCATTCTCCCCTGGTTCAGTTTATATTTGTTTCTTGGTGGACCCGAGAAATAAATCTTGCCATTTCCACTCTCTTTATTACACGATATACAACCTCTAAGTGGACATCAAGGATTGTCAAAAAATAACACATGACCCACTTGCCTGACTATTTCTTCTCCACAATCACCAATATCAGTATCAATATGGTCTCAATAAATAAACCATAATGAAGATTAAGCTTTGAAATTGCAAATACTTTTTATCAAATTGATGACGTGGATATTTAAGGAGAAAAGAAAATGAGGACAAGCTTCTGCTGTTTAAGTTTGAGGATTAATATATCTAGTTTATTCCCACTATATATAAATGAAAAAAAAAAAAAATGTCATCATCTATTCTATTAACATGGGGTAGTTGTTAAATGGTCCAACATAATGATAACTAAATAATTTTAATACTTGAATATCCAATATTATGGAGGTTGTTAGCTAATATTTTTACAAAATTATGTAATACAAGGAAGTATACAATTCACAATGAATGGCACTTATAAAATTGGTCAATTGTTTTTAAAATTCATTCATTCACAACTATAATGAGATTAATCACAACTATAAATATTAATAATTAATTCTTTTATTGTGGCATCAGCATGATTCCGCATTTGGTATAATTAGTAGTTGGATCATTGAAATTAAAATTTTCTCAGTTGTCTATTCAATCTGATTTCAAAGTAAAGCACCTTAAGTTATTAAGAACATGCTCATTTATTTTAAAAATAATTGTTGTATCACTTCAAAAAAAATATAGTTTATTTAATTTATAAATTTTAAATTAGTATAATTTTGTATTATATTAAAAATCTTTTAAAATATTCACATAATTGTTCCTTCATTTAAATTTATGGAAGAAACTGTAATATATTTTAAAAATCAATGAGATTAATAATCCTACAGAAGAGAAATTAATAATAGCTACAGAATAGAGTTACTAATCCCAAATAGCTATTACTGACCAAAAATTATATTGAATGGTAATTATTTATTTGATAATTGTCCAGGTTACGCGAGATTCACAATCACTTTGGTCACACTTTTTCATGAAACGCCGAAAACAATCTTTCCAATAAATCCGGTGCATCCCGCACTCCATGAACAAGCGTGATCAAAGTGATTGTGAACCACGCGTAACCCCTACAGTCCTTATCTAAATAATTACCAATAAGAATATTCCTAACACAATTAATTTCATAACTGGCGCTTGATAAATTTTAACATACCTGGGTCTTCCTTCAGTTTCATAGTCTTCTCCACTGTTAAAAGATTGAATTTCATTAATTGTGATATTTACAGATATTTAATAATAACATTTAATTATTCAAAACATGAAAAATTAATACATACCATTAGAAATTGATTGCGAATTATTATTATTAATCGCAATGTTTCCCAAGCACTTATTTATTACATTACAGGAAAACAAAAATAAATTTTACTTCACTGAATCATTTAAAAAGTATATTTAAACAGGGGTTGATTCCTGATTATTCACCAATCCCTAAATATTTCGTCTAATTTTTAAAATTATGTAATTTTAGATTTCCCGATTTGAAACTCTATAATATCAATGTATTTTATTGAACGAGAGATTGAATTTTCTTAACTTGGTTATTTAATTTTCAAATAATCAAAGTTTTCAACGCAGTTAATACATTACCATTGTAAAAAAAATTAAATGCATTCTAATTTACTTTTTTTTTTCTTCCATTATAAATTATCACAAAGGCTTATGGATCGGAACTTAGATTTCTTGTTATAATATTTTAATTAACTTTATCGTTTTCGTTATACGGGTTTAAAATAATTTTTTCGTTTGTACTAACGATTCCCTACGGTACTAAGGAGGATACATAAAATAGACAAATATTCTCGATAGTCCGAAATCGAAACGGTACAACTTTTAGTTCGAATTCGTTAGATTGAGTTTGCGCCAATCACGGCCAACTTAATTATGTGACACTTGATTTTTATTTGTATAGTTTGTATACTTCACAAGCGAATACAGTTATGAAATATTTTTTTTTAAAAAAAGAGTACAAAATCAATTATTTCTTATTCTTCCGATAATTAAAATAAGAACATCGTAATGAAAATATCAGATTTCGTAAAGAAAAAAATATTAAAAACATACAGTTTAGACATGCAATATATGCTTTATAATATTTAAAAAGCTAAATAAATCGGAACATAAATTTATTTGTTCAGCAACTGCCTAGCTTCCCACTAGCGGATCCAGGATTTAATTTTGGGGGAGGCTTCAGCCCAAAAGATTTTTTTTCGTCATATACATATAATGATAATTAATTTGAAAAAAAAGAAAGAAACTAACTACCTATATGAAATGGTGTTCCTGAAATCCTATTAAATGTAATTACAGGAACAAGAATACTTTAAGAGATAGTTTTTAATATTTTTTTTCTGTAAAACATGGTTATATTTTACCATTTTTTTTGGGGGGGGGGCTTCAGCCCGAAAGCCCCTCCCCCGTAGTTTCGCCTGTGTATCTTCCTAATAATAAAAGTTATTAATTAGACTATGAGCATGCTTTAAACTGTTCTGCCTGTATTGCATTTAAAGTAATTTTTTTTTTCCCTTAACAAATATCACAATTTCCTAACCAATATAAAGAGATTTCTGACTATTTGGTCATGAGATGTCCAGAACAGAGTAGCATGGCACCAAAATGTTTGATGGTAAATAACTTTTTAGGAGGGGCATATATTTGCCGAATTATAAAATTTGGACTAAACCACATTTTAAAGGAGTTTTAATTTGAAGGAACTTTCAAACCAGAGAAAACTAAACCATAATTTCTATAAATCTACTTTATCTGTACCGTTTAAAAAAAAAAAAAAAAAAAAAATGAAATTTCTTGGGAGAGAGGATGCACCCTTTGGGAGTACATGCACACCTCTGGAAATAATGATGGTTAAAAAATTGCTTCCATTTCAAAATTTTTTTTTATTTATTTTTTTTTCCTACCCCCCAGGAATTTCTTGATTACAAATACAATATATATATAAATGTTATATATACATAAATTTTTCAATTTCCTTTTATTGCCCAAGGCCATTTTAAGGTAAGAGGGATCTGCAAGCTGTATGCGTTCTTTGCATCAGTGGCCAGACACCTTTTATTATATCACTGGGCGTGGAGGGACCGCCCTACTTCCATTTCAAAAAGATGAATAAAAATATAAAAAGTGAAGTATCTATTTTAATTCATTGGGTATGTTACTTAAATAATATAATTAACTTTTAATATATCAAATCACACTATAATGAACAAAAGTAAAAAAAAAAAAACTATAGTTATTCACATTTATATCTTATTCTATGAACTTGATTTTCTATTTTTATTTTTATTTATTTTTTTTCGTAATGCTTAAGACAAAATGTAATATTTTAAATAATGTTTTTGATTTGTCTTTCCGGAAGGAAAATGTTGACTTGAAAAGCTTAAAACTTCAATTTCTAATAAATTGATCATTCCTAGTTTTCCATTGTGGCTGTTGAAATATTAATATTAGTTTAGTTAATGGGATAATAATGTTTATACATTCAGGTCAATCCAATTTTTACAAATTGAGTTTTAACTAAAAAACATGTATCAAAATATAGCACTAAAAAGATAAATAGTTTTAAGCATTTGATTACAGCAAAGAGTTGCAATAATGATAATTAAAAATATATAATCCTGTTATGTAACCTTTTACATTTTATGGTGGCAGAAGATTCGATTCTTAAGATTTTTTGAGGTTTCAATCTCACAGGATCACCAATTTTCTTCAATATACTTTTATCACAGATTACCTTTTGATTTATTCATTTCCAGCTGCTGTTTTGACTTCAGTAAGGATTGCACTAGCATTTGACACACCTCATTTTAATATATGACTTGGTTGATTTAACCGGGAACTATTAAGTGCATTTCAAAAATGATTCAATGATAGTTCATTTTTCCGAGGAAGATAGTATAGTGAAAAAAGAATGGGATATAAATTAAATTAATGATATGTTACACAGGGTAACTATGATAATAACATTTTCACAGTTCAAACTTTTTAAGTAACTAATATACTAACATATAATGATATACTACTTTCAGAATGTAATAATGGTGTTCTGGATAAAGTTGATATTTAGGAGATGCTAGGAATTTACCAATCCATCCACTGGGCTGCTTAACTTGGGAAAAGTGCATTGCTTACCAAGAATTGTTCTCATGATTTGACCATTTGACCAATCAATTCAAATTGATCAATAACTTTTCATTATTACCTGAATAAATATCATTGTTTCACAAAAATAATCGTTAATCACTTGCAATGAAAAATGAATATATATATGAAACTCTCAAATTAAGAAACTTGGTTGGGTCACAATCAGCCTGTTGTACCAATTTCTAAGTCAGGGCAATTAAAAATATATATAACTCTCTCTGTAATTTAGAATAGTGAAGACATAGTTCATTGAGGATTCTTTCAGATCTAATAATTAATGCAGAACTTTAGATGACCAGTTAAAATGAATATATGATGTGATCCATGATTAATAAATATGTATGCATTTTTTTAACGAGATGACTCTCAACCAGACACTTGTCATGCAAACCAACAAAATTCCCTAACTGAGAGGAATTGAAACCATACTTGCAGTTTACTGAAGATAATTAACCCTCATAATTTTCATTAATCTCCTTTAATTGGTTTAATGGATTATTTTAAGAAAAACCAATATTGACAAGTTTTGAAGTTCTCATGGTTTTAGTTAGTCAAATTTCTCCCATTTGCGAAAAATCAAAGTTAATAGTAAAAGAAAAATTACTCTTAGGTATGAATAAATCAAAAATATTTAATTAAACTGATTAAAAAAATGATAAATAATATAAATGTTTGTACAGTATATATTTGCAAATGAAATATATTTAAATGACTAGTTTATTACAGCAACAAAACTCTGTTTACAACACTATCCGTGTTATAACAAAATCTTTTTATAACAGTTATAACACAATGGCACAAAATGCAAAATTACATTTCACAATATAAAATTTCTTAATAACAATAAAATAGAAATTAAAAAAAAATCATACATTACTTTTTGGTACTAACATATTCAAGGTCTTTGGTAAATTCTCATCATTTTCCTGATTAACAAATACAAAAATTTAAATTTTTATAAAATTACATTACATTTGATTAATTTGCTTTTGGTGATAACTGATAACACATAAATAAAAAAGTAAAAATAAACACACATGCTAGTTGGTTTCAATATAATTGATTCTTGCTTGTAATTTTCTTAATTTATTATACCACTTATTGTAATCATTTTCATATAAAAATAAAGTTTCCATTGATGATAAAACATTTCAAAACTCTTGTTAGTTCATATAATTCTTAAAACAAAACTTACAAACATTGCGTAGCAATTAGTAACTATATGATAAAGCAGGGGTTCGTAACCTGTTTTGTTCCTTCTCAAAATGTTTTTATTTATTTTTTAGTTAGAATTAATGCATTAAAATTATATACAATTAATACTATAATTGTCAGGGCTAGAAATAAATGCCTAAATAAAATTAAATGAAACAATTTATCATGAAATAAACAAGAAACAGTAAATTATTACAAATGATAGGAAGATTGTTGCATATTGGGATGGGGAAAAAAAATCAGCCTATTAAATGTAATAACTAAAATGCACTGAGAGACAAAATAATATTGCCACTGATAATATTTTTTAGAATACCTTTAAAACGCATTAATCCAATGCATAAAGTCATCCAATGTCATCATTTTCCAGGAGTTTATTCAAAATCTCATTAGATCAGAGCTAAAATGTCTATTACCTAAATATAAATTATGAGGTCAATAGTATAAAGGTTACGAACCCATGCAACAAAGCAAGCCCAACTTGTTACATGTGTGGCAGTGATGGCTATACTAAATAAAAATAATACAATTAACAATCTAAAATAAACTTACATGTTTTTAAACAATCACTGATTTATAATACAATAAAATCAAATTAGACAATATCATAAGTTACCTCATAGCATCTAGTTTAGGCCATAAATCTTTTAATAAATACACAATTGCACTCATTATTATTCTAATGACATATAAAAGTGTATTAACACGCAAAACGCTCATCAGTCATTCTTTTGAAGAAAATTTAACTTCTATTACTTAAACATGAACAGGGGCAAAAAATGAATAACTTTTTTTTAAAAAAACATTTCTTATAGAGCAGCCAGTGCAATTAATGTGAATGATATCTCAGTTGAAATGCTAAATAAAATTATGAGATAATATAAGCCAACAACTAGAGGACTGCGAAAATATTTTAAAAACAAATTGAACTAAAGTGAATCTATAAATATAGCTGATGAGAGACAACACTAAATGTAAAAATCACGTTTCCTGATAGATCACATTACTTTTCTTTCCATATTAGGTCGAATATACGTAATTTGACCCGAGTTTATGCTTGGACTTCATAATTATTCAATATTATACACAAATATGACTATGATATTTGACTAATATTAGCACTATTAAATTATTTCACTAGTCTTGCTCATTGTTTAATAATCAATCCTACACTACTCAAAGGTAAACACACTTTAATACATTATTTAGGTATATACTTATTAATGCTTGACAGTGATAAATGAATCAATCTAGATTAGAATAAATCTCAAATTAAAAAATATATATAAATTAAGAATAAATAAACTTTTTTATTTATTCAAAAATAAAATAAAAACATATTAATTTAATTTTTTTTTGTTTTAATTCATCACATGTCATTAATAATTATTATTAATCTAACATCCAAACAAGTAATGGAATCACAATATCTATTAATTTTCTGAGCAATAAAATATTTTTATATTTATTCATTATAATTATCTAGTCCATATCACTTCATTATGATTATATTACATAAAGTTAAACACAGTACTATCTACTTAACATCTTAAAATAACTAAAAATTCTTTAAACGTGTTGGTCATTAAGTGTATACAGTTTCCTCATGGTTCCATTATTTATATATATATTTTTAACGCATATTCAAAACTGACTATATAAATCAGAAGAGAACTGCTGTTTTACTATTAATTCCCCTCAAATAACTAGGGACGGTATTTGTGTTGAAATCGATTATTGCTGATAAAAATATGGCACTCCATGCTAAAGCTAGGAAGGCGATCACTGGCATAACTCTTTATTTACAATGACAAGATTTTTCCAAAGAATGCCAAGTTAACAGCAATGATGACACTTATGGGTGGCAGTGCTTGATGAGCGAGGCTAGAGCACCGGCTAACCGCTCAGCTCCGCCGCTCAAGTCCTCCTGCTTTTCTGATACAATGATACCTTGGACTTCTGTCACTACCTTTAGCACACCCAAAACAAAACATGGTTCCATTGTTACACCATATTCTACGACTTTCCTCAGCTGTGATGTAACTGTTTGAAGATTTCCGTAGTAATCTCCTGCTTCTAAAGTGGTATTGGCACATTTATGACTCCTAACCAATAGTTTGGATGAAGTGACCAACCTTCTCAACTCCAATCCTAGCATATCTTTCACCTCCTGAAATATTTATAATAGATAAATAGATAGATAGTAAAATAATTTTTTCTTGTTTTGGAAAAGTTTCTCTAAGAATAACAATAATGAACAAATAAGAAAAATACATATCTGACCAAAAACTACATTAACAAAAATTCTAACAAAATATACAATAACTTAAATAATAATATGTAAACAACTAAAAAGTCTATATTCTATTAAATTCTATTTTACCAAAAACTGAAAATTTGAGAATGCAAAGCGCCGTTTTTGGGATGTAAAAAGGTATTGAAAAAGAAGGAATTTGAAAGATGAGACATGACAAGGAATTTCAGAAGGGAATGGAGCAGGCTAGGAAAGAAGGTTCGAATGTTTTAGTTCTATGGGAGGGGATAGAGATGTCAGAAACACAAGATCTTGTTCTCTGTGAGTGGACTGTGCATTTGAGATGTAGGAGATGGTAGAAATCGGAAGGATGCTGAGAGTTTGGTACAAGAAAGATTACACTTCCTTGTACAATACAATACTTCCTCAGGAAGTATTGGTGGCAGAAGTATGAGAAAAGCCACTTAAACTTGCTATACAGTTGGGATACATGAAACCTTCTCGAAATCCCAAAAAGGCAAATTTCAATAATCAGTTCATAATTTGCTTCAGTCTATACTCGAGCAGAATTGAGAGGCCACCGTAAACCAAACATTCATAATCAAAAGGATGGAAAATCAATAAGGAAATGAGGAGCTCGAGGATAGGTTGAGGAAGATGATAAGAGGAATAATTTAAGTTTACCTATTTACCTTAGGGAGAAATGGGCAGTATGAGATTTCCAGGAAAGATTTTCATCAATGATAATACGTAAGGTTTTAACAGAGGAGCTGAAAGTGATAGGTTGATCATTAATAACTAAAGAAGGAAGAGTGGCATTGGAAGGAGGAATTGGAACCTACCAATGGCCTGAGTTTTTGTCGAATTTAATGTTAATTTATTCAAGCATACCCAGATAATGATCCTATCTAGATCTTCTTCAATATTATTACTACTAATAATACTAAAGGAAGGAAATAATAAATAAATTTGGTAGTCATCAGCATATAAATGGTGTGAGCGGTGGTTGATTAAATTAGGAAGATGATGTAGTTGTTCATTAAAATTGTTGTTCATCACAGTATGTTTGTCATTTGTAATTTTAACTAGAGTGGATTGTGTGCAGAAACAAGGGTGGAATATTGCAATAATAATTGTAATATAGTACACCTCTGAATAAAACAAAACAATACAAAATTAAATTAGTAAACCAAAAGGTTCCTAGCTGATACTAGTAATTTATTTATTTTTTTAACTGTTAATCTCCTCTGTAGACCAGTAAATAAAGTTGAAATTTATTATCTATTGCCAGGATTAGGGATCTCCAAACTCTTTGGCCCAAGTGCCACTCTGAGATCTCTCCTAACAAGGGGAGGCTAGTCAGTGGGTTACCCACTTCAACCAAATTTTTTTTGGAGATACTACATTGAAAAATATTGGGACACATATCCCGGCATTTGTTCCAATGTATTCTAGGTGCTGAGAAAACAGTTTGTTTATACCAAGTCCTGTCATACATATTGTTACTAGGAAATATATATAAATTTTATACTATAGTCTAAAACCTAGCAGTAACCTTTGACCAGAACCTCTCCTGGGATAATCATATCTCCCAGATTACCCAAAAATCCATAACTGCCCTTAAACAACTCCTAAGATTCCGTGATTGTATTCCTCTAAAAACCAGACAGCTCCTTGTAACCTCCCTTGTATTCCCCCACTTCGACTATGGCTGCTTGGTGTATGGAGGGCTATCTGCCAGGCTGGAAATGAGACTAAAAAGACTCATGAATTGTTTCATCAGATTCATTTTCGGGATCCCCAGACGTTCACATGTTTCACTATGGTACACCGAGTTGAAGTGGCTTTATCCTACTTCCCGACGACAATTCCTTCTTGGCGTTTTCCTTTTCCAAGTCTTCAGAACTAAAAACCCTCCCTACATCCTGGAACTCCTTACTCTGCACTCCTCTATCCATTCTCTCAATACTAGGTCTCAACCTATAGACTTATATATTCCCTCCCATAAAACTTCCTCCTTCAGCATATCCTTCGTCATTCGTGCTGCTTCCTTATGAAACTCACTTCCTACCCCCATGCGTCAATCCTCATCCACAAATTCCTTCAAACAACTCCTGTTCCAACACCTACTCCACATTCAAACTTCCCCTAACATGTAAAATTACTTGCATCTATACAATGTTTAATTTCAATCCATTGCATAATTGAAATAACAATTAATAATAAATTAATTGGTATTTTTATTATGTCAGACTAAGATACATAAATTTGTAACTCTGTTAGTATTCTTAGGGGACAGTAGTCCCAGAATAAAATTATTTTTTCATTTCATTTTCATTTTCATTATATCTATAGAGAGTAAAAAAAAAATTACTCAAATGCCCCCCTTTTGTCTTGACACAGGCATTTAATCTCCATGGTCAGTCATCAACAGCAGCAATTCTTCAACTGCTCGTTCCAGAGATTCATTGAGCCTTTCCAAGTTAGGGTGTGCTCTGTGGTATGCCATCCTCTCCAATTCCGACCAAAGCCGAAAATCTAGTGGGTTGAGATCAGGGCTTCCTGAGGGCCAAACCGAGGCAGAGATGAACTCTAAAATGTTCTTTTGCACTGCTGAGTTGACCTGGCCTTGTGAGCTACAGCAGAATCCTGCTGGAAAACCCAATGACTTCCAGCAAACAGAGTATCATTTAGAGGCTTGACAACAGGTTCCAAAATACCGCCCTGGTAGTTTTTAGCGGATGTTTTAACTTATTTTTCATGAAAATGGAGCTTTGTTGTGCCATCAAAGCAAACACCCCATCGAACCATCACTGAGGAAGGGTGATGAAATCTTTCCACTCTTTCAATGATTTCCTGGGCTTCTTTAGAGCTGTGTGCATACAAACGATCGCTTTGGTGATTAAATTTTTCTTCAATTGTAAACATTTTTTCATCAATAAACAAAATCTTTCGATGAAGACCATTGGCGTAAAGGTCAAGGAGCACTTTGCGTCTATACACTCCAATTTTTTTTTAGGGAGGTGGTTAGCCTTTGTCCTGTCATTCTTTGAAATGCATCCATCCTAAGGTCACTTTTTATTATGCGAGATATTGATTCCCATTTTCCAAGACATGATTTGTTGTTTTCGAATGGGATTTTTTCTGATTCTGCCAGCCACTGTTCTCAATGCATTTGCCGTCCGTTCTCACTGTGCGGGGTAGACCCAGTTGAGGTCTGTCACATACAGATATGGTCTCATTAAGTCTATTTATAGTGCAGTACTTGAACGCATGGCTGATACCCAAAGGTTACAAAGTATTGAAAATCTCTGGCCTAGATTTTCCAACTTTGTGTAAGATGATCACAGCTATTCAGTTTTCTTTATCACCCTACTCCATGTTAACTGAGCGAAAGCAAAAATACAAACTAATTTGGATTATTATCCCGACATGTAACGAAAATAACCTGATAGAGATAAGGATTATCTAAATAATACTCAAGGAAATAAACAAAGTTCAACTTTTGTAACAGTATTTATGGATGCACTAGGTATAATTTCAAACAAAATTAATTTTTTCCTTTGCTTTAAATGGATTTTCAGATTATTATACATCATTTGATTTCTTTTTTTGTACAGAATAAGAAAATATATTGACTATTGAGTTAAATAAGTTATAATGTATCATAAATTACAAAAACCAAAAGACACTTCCAGTTAAGTAGGCCAAATAAATGTTTGTTATGAAAAAGCAATTCAGATTCATTTTTAGTGTTTTTTGAAACTCTTAAATACGAATTTGAATATAAATCAAAAATTGTAAAATTTAATACTTGATTTTCTTAGAGTTTTTTTTTTTTTGGTCAATAACTACAGTATTCATAACTTCTTAGGATTTCCCCAAATTTAAGTACAACCGATTGGATGAATATTGGAAAGTTGAATTACTGCTCTTCCTTCCCACATTGATAACTTTTAGATCTCATTCCATTTTAAATTTAAAAAAATCTTTTCAATCATTTTTATTTCATATCAGTAATTCTAATTTGGAAATGGAAGTCAATTGTATATCATTTCTTGTAACATATAGAACCCTAAATCCTTTATATATTTTGTGAGGATTGGTGTAGCTATTCTGAAGTTACACAATTTTTGTGGTTGTTGACGAAATTTCAAAGAGTCCAGCCTAATCAAAGAAATGTTTGCAGGCTGGATTGTAAGTGCTCACGGGCCATAGTTTGGAGACTCCTAATAAAACTTATCAAATGGAAAAAAAAAAAAATGTAAAATATTTCACAAAAGAATATACCATATATTACTGTTCTTTAATTATGGTTCAAAACAATAATTTTTTACCATCATATTAGCAACAGTATATTATTAATACTTATATATATATATATATATATATATATATATATATTTCAGTATCAACTAGGATTAATAACGACACCTTGAGATATCTCACCTGAGTTTTATTAATATTTCTGTCAGTTTGAGCTAGCGCTAAACTTAAGCGGTCGCTGAAATCAGTCGTTATTTTAAGTGCTTCCACATTAACGTCAGCATCAGCCTGCTACAAAAATAAACAATAATAAAAACAAGTATTTTGATTATAACCTGCAGCTTAATAAAAGGACAATCAAAGTCAATTTAATTAAACAATGAAACAGAATATGCTATTTAGTATCAATTAGTTTTAGAAAAGTAATATTCAAATATAAGAAAAATCTGATTCAAACACTGGACCTACTTTTCATTGATCTTTATTAAACCAATGTCATTTGAAATTATGTTCAATTGTATTTGTGTTGAAAACTTTCTTAAGGCACTGTTTCGCTGGTACTGCCCACCAGAGCGACTGCTGGCAGTTAAGCACTCTTTTAGTGGAATAGAAAGAAGCCTATTTCGTTAGTATTGCTCAGCAGTCAAGGTATGAAGTCACATCTATACCTCTCCTTTTTGGCAGCTTCTGAAGCAGTGAAGCTGTTGGTAGCACAGTGGTTACAGGTTATGTTATTATATTGGAGTGTTGTTTTGACGATAACAGTCACCTTGATATGTTTCATTTCCCTTTTTTTATTGTCAGGAAAAATTAAATGAAATATTGTTTAAAATTTAAACAAAGCTATAATAAATCAGTTTTTAAAGGTTGTAGTAACAAGATTGTTAATTTATTTATCCCACCAAAATTATTTCACAGAGAAATATAAATATACTTAAATCCAAATGAATTTAATAAATTAAATAATAATACAGAAAAAATGGTGTGTATTAATAAATAAGATTGAAACTCCACCATCATATGTATTGCTGTCTTTCCGAAACAAATGTAAACCATTAAATTTGAGGCTAACATTTTTAATTTAAATTATTTCAGACTAAAATAATTAGGCAGTGATGGTGAGCAGTTTCAGCGAAATAGATAAGCATTAACAGTTGGTAGTATAGAATGACATTAGCTGCCATGAGTAGTACCAGCAAAATAGTACCTTTATTAATTTTAAGTTATTTGTTAATATACGTTTAGAAATTCAGATATTTGTTGCTTTTGCACTATGTAGGAGTTACACAAGTGTTAAAAGGTTAGTTAAAAACATAAAAACATCGAATAAAACTATAATAGTACTTACTTTCCGAATAAACGAATCGGATCTGGGAGGAAGAGGTGGTGGGTATTTATATGATACTTTTGGAGGTCTTTCTGGTTGTTTTTCACAACAGGCTTTGATGTCTTCTTTACAGGCTACTCCATTTTGTTTACAAACATCTTCATCCTAAAAATGAAAAAATATAAGTAAAAAAAAAATGTATAAAATTATAATCATTTTATTTGTCAAAGCATCTCTCTTCACATTGAATAATTTACACAGTATAGATTTAGAAAATCTTAAGTTTAGCATTTGCAGCATGAAGTAGACAGTACAGTAGTCTTAAGATCTTCGCCGTAATCTTCACCTTTTAGAACAGTGGACATTTTTTTTATTGTGCTCCAGTTTCCTCTTTAATATATATAATTGATCTACCATAGATTTAAAATACTACTTCTGATACTAAAACTTTTCTACATATTCAACCATACTCCCTTCATATATATCAAGCCAAAGGCAAGAATCACAAATTCTACTACAAATGTATTCTATCTGTATTTATTTCAGAAACTGTTTTTTTTATTTATCAAAATTTATTAGGTATAATTTAAAAAAAAAAAAATTTGGTGTGTGAACTCACACGACTTTCCTACCTATTTCAGAACAGTTTTTATATCTTTTAATATGTCCATTACAAAAAATCGTGATTCGAACTCATAATCTTACATACAAAATTAAATAGCTGTAATTTCGTTAATAGTTGTCCGAAATAAAAAATATTGATTTTTGTAGGAAATTTTATCACCTTTCGAAAAAATATGCTAAAAGGTTGTTTTTCGGACTCAGGGGGCTGCTAAAAGGTATAGATCCGTCGAAAACCGCACATCAGAAATTTTACCCGATCACAATACTTTCAAATATATTCCTAAACATTTTACCACAGAATATATACTTAGCGAGTTAGGTTCCAAAACATTTTTCTTTTCTTTATAACATTTTTCCTGTATTTTCTCGGAAATTCAGTACCAGTATGAAAATTGAAAGGACAATAATTAGAAAATTATAGGAAAGTTTCATCAAAATTATTAGAGCCGTCTTTGCGCTACTGTCTATAGAGAAATATGTTTCTGACTTATTGCGCAGCTGCTAATGTGCAGGGAGCATTTGATTTGTGTCACAGGCATTAGTAGTCAAAACCCTACAAAATAAAAAAAGAAGCAACAAATTGGTCCTCTAGTTGCCGAGATAATTTTGGCACAGACAGACAAACCAATGGCGGAAAATGTGTTGTTCGGACTCTGTGAAACATATAAATCCATCAAAAACAGCATATCAGAAATTTGACCCGATCTCAATACTTTCCTTTCCTAGTATACAATTTATACCTTAAGATGTCACTATTTTTAATTACGATTACTTAATATTAATATAAATTAAAAAAACAATATTTTTTAAGCACATTACAATAAATACAAAAGGAGGCTGCATTTTAACCTGTTTAATACATATTTATGTTCTTACCATAGATGGGGGTGGAGGAGGTGGTATTATAAAAGCAGATATTTGCTCTGTGGTAAGGCTGATGGTTGGATCAACAACAGTAGTTGGCGGAGGAGGTACAACCTTGGTTGATTCCAAGAACTCTTCCAAGCCAAGACTTAGAAGTTCTTCCGCTCCAACAGTGATCTACATCAAAGAAAAAATATCTTTTTAATTAAAGCAATATTTTTAATTTCTTACTAATAATTTCATACTGTAATAAAAATATTATAAATTTTATAAAATTATAAAAAAATATGAATAAACTAATTTTCAGGAATCACCTGTTTGATTATCATAAAATGAAATAAAGGACCGATAAACCTTTTTATCGAGAGTAGTGAAAGGAACTAAAAATATGGCAACATTTTTCCATAACTCTTCACTAAAACAAATATATACACAAATAGTAAAATACCATTGTAATCTTCTAATTTATGTATATGTTTGTATATATGTATATGTATATGTCAAAAGAGAAGCTAAAAACCAAAATTTTAGTTTCAAATAAAGCCTAATTGTAGTCGAACTATAACTTCCTCCACTGAGGATCCAACATTTGGCAATATATAAAAACAAATAAGTAAAGTGCAAAACAATTCTATTCTGAAATCTGAATCTGTATAACCATAATAACTTATTTTGAAATTCTCAGATGGAAGAATCAATTAATTGGAATGTGAAAAAAAGAAAATAATTAAATGAGACCATACACTGCCATAATTTATTAAATTAATGATAAATAAAAAACAAAAGTAATGAAACAATTAATCAAATTGAAAAAATAATTAAATCAAGGAAACTCAATCTCAGTTTGTAATATACAACATTTAATTAACTGCATCATAATTACTGTTCAATGTTTTTATTTTAAATTTTCATATTGATTTACCAAATAACAATTGATCATGGTCTAATTATATATATATATATATATTTTTTTTTTTTTTTTTTTTTTGTTTAATCTAATCAATACTTGTTGCCAAATACTTAGAAAAAAATTGGGTTATAAGACTAAATACTGAAAATTTCCTACAACTGGCTCTTTTCCCTAGCATAATTCCTATTTTTTTCTGACAAGGAAAACTTAAGGCTGCTAAACACCCTATTATCATTTATGATATACTACCTCTGATGAATAGATATAAAGTAACATAAAAAATATCAAATAAACATTCTTATATTATTTTATACAATGTATAATTATAGAAGACAGAAATAAAAATACCCTATCAGGAGTGGCAGGGGGAGGAAGGAGAGTGAGATCTATTATATCTGGATCGAGGCATAGAGTCGCTCCAGGCAATTCATAATTTCCAGTTTCTTGAACTTTTTTCCAAACTTCCTGCAATGCTTCATAAGTTGAAAGAGTATCTGGACTATGTAGACCAAAGCTTGAGTCAGAATCTCGATTGGGGTTTTTAGCTAAAAAAAAAAAATTATATATTATCCTTAAATTCATTAAAAACGATTCTTTTTATTACAATGATTGAAAGTTACTCCTTTAAATCAGGGCTGAAGATCCTATGGAAATCTATCAGATTTATTGGAATGAAGGCAAGTGAAATGGAAAGCTCTTCAGTATTTAAAAGTTACCAACCAGAAAGGTAACGCTGGCGCACAATGTTGATTTACAACAGATTTAAATCCAAGATACTTTGTACATATAGGATGATGAAAAACATTCATTTTTAGAAATATTTATTATTTTGTATATAAAAGATGAAAAAATATATTTAGAACATAATTATAAAATATACTGTAATTTTTTTATTGATACCGAATGTTATCATATAAGCACAAAAGTATAATTGTGTTTTAACTATATGTTTATGTTTTAAAATCTAATAGTCACTAAACTAAAAAAAAATTATTTTTGAAATAGCAACTACAATACTTAAATTTAAGCACCATAGGATTAATAGCAATGGTAGACAGTCAACGAATTCCCACCATCAGGAAGCTGAAATTTATTGTTTTCTATAAAAAATAAGTCTTTAAGTGGTCTTGAACTGCATTGGATTTAAGTGTTAACATAACTTTGTCCCATCTTTTTAAATGAAAATGGCATTTAAGCCAACTTCAGTTCTTAACTTAGTATCATTTTGTCGATAAAAAAATTAATAATCAGAAAATACAAGCGATATTGCACTAATTTCTTTCAAATTATGAATATTTTACAATAATTTCAAACCTGGAGTTATTAACAAGCTGTTAATATATATGTTTTATCATATATCACTCAAAATATTCTATCTTGTACTTTTCCAGCATTTACCCAGGATAGTTGATATTTCATTCTTGGTACTCATCAATAAAATTAACAATGAAAAATACCATGCCATATATTAACCTATGTTCTACAAAATATTTGGTAGTTTTAAACTTGTAAAATGTTCTGTCTGTAGCCATTAATTTAACTTAAGAAGTCCTTAATTTAATCTACAAATTTCAGGAATGACCTAGCTTAACTCTTTTTTCAACTCTATATAATCATTCAATCTTTGAATACATATATTTCTTCTGTATTTGTACCTTGGGTAAGCATTCAAAGTAACATATATCTACAAATAATTTTAGGCCTATCAGACTTAACCAGTAATAATGTGGAAATCATAAACATAGTAAACTACATAAACATAAGAAGCATATGTAAATAAGCCTTTTAATGCATATTATCAATAAGGATGATATGTTGATTTTATAAAATTAAAATAGTTCGAACTGGTTAAAAGCTCCTTTCAAAGCAGATAGGAACAACGCAGAGGCGATGATGATTGTTCAACGAATATCAGGGAAATTTTCATTTCATTAATTTTCATTGTTCTGCATATAAATACAAAATGTGATTTAAATCAAAATACTTCATGATAGGGTAAATACTAAATAGTGTTCTGGTGTTAAAAATAATAATTTTTACACCGTATGACTGTATATGTAGGCATTAACAAAGTTCATAAAAACTAAGTAGTTTCAGAAAGAAATTCATTGTAATTTATTTTCTAAGATCAAGGAAATAGTACTATGAAATAACTCAACAATAAAAAATATTTATTACTAAAAGTATCAATAATATATTAAAAGATTAGGCCAAACAATAAATTATCTTTGATTTTCAGTGTATTGCTTCTTTCTCTTCTTCATTTTCAAGATATTTCCACACAGCTTCTTCTGATGTAGCTCCAAAAAAAATATGGATTTTATCTGAAAATTATAACTTCATGTGGTGTCTATATTTCTACTATTTACAGATATATGTTACTTTGAAGAGGTTAGTTGGCGTTCCAAACATAAGCGGTTAGGTATGTTGTGTGTTTTTTTCAAAAACTTCAGATCATGCAGTGTCAAATTATCAGAGATTTTATTAACTTTTTCAAAAGATTTATTTGATTTTTAAAAAAGTTTGAAAAAAATTAAATTAAAGATGGCAAATTTTTAAATCAATTGATAAAAATGAAAGACACAAAAAATATATTTTTAACTTCAAGTTAATCCTAAAATTATTATCAAAATTAGAATAGGTTTCCTCACACAGAGTTTACTGGTACCAGACACCTGTAATACCTGTTGCAAATTAAATCAACAGAAGCCAGCCTTGACAGAAAACAGTTCTATATTCTAGCAGCACATAGCATATATTAAAAAACATTTGATTTTTGGATTAAAAACATAATTTCTTTATCCCAACTTGATATTGATGTGGTCTTAGGAAGCTTTTTATTTTATAAACATTAAATTGATTGAAAATGCAGAACTTTCAACATCATATCTGACTAGATTTTACATCAAAATATCACTTTAAACAATTAAAATATTAATTATATTGATGGGATGTAAAACGAAGCCAAATGGTATTGCTATAGAACAATAATAGATAAGATTATTTGATTGAAAACTAATGTACTTGATACACATAAATGAAATGTTTACAAACATATCAACTTCTCAAATCTGCCTTATTTTGAAAGTATTCCCCAAACTTTCAAAACAAGATTTATACAACATTAATATCTGTATGTAACCTAATACCATACAGTATTGCAATATTGGAACCAATATTAAATAAGATTTTTCGAATTGATCAGGGGAGCCTATGAAATTGGTTAATTTCTGATGCCAGTAAATTATGTGCATGAAAACTTACTTTGAAAAACCAAACAAATAGTAAAACTAAAAGTTATAAATTGAAAAATGTTAATTTCAACTTCCACTTACTGATATTATAACAACTAACATGTTAATCATAGAGAATAATAAATCATTAGTAACATTTCAAATGATGTGAAACATAAAAGAACATACCTATACTATTGTGTGAAGGACTAGTCGTCAGTGAATCTGTGTCACTTTCAGTATCGCCTACATCTAAGGAATTAAATGCTTCGTTGACACATTCTTCAATTTCTTTTTGGCCCTAAAAATAAAAACAAAAAGTAATATTTAAAAACAAAGAATCAGGAAAGAGAAAAATATTCTGAAAGTACACTAATCGAACACTAGCTCTATATTTTGTAAATATACTTAAGCTATTCCTAATGCCTCTGACTTATCAGGAGGTTAAATTGTTTATCAGGAAGTTAAACTTATACTTTTGCCCCGTTTATTCCAGATACATTTATTAGATTTAAAGCACAGTAACCAATTGCCTGCTAAAAAACTTGATTATTGATCAAAATTTATAAGTATGATTTTCTTGTAATTGTGAATTCATATAATTGTTGAAGAGAAGTTGGTTGTATCAAAATATCATATTTTCCCTCCTGATGCCCAAACAGATCTATCTGGAGAAACAGTGACGGTGTTAAAACACCTCTAGTTTGCTTATTATGATTTATTTCCATCTTAATTTATTAACCTATTATACGTGAACCTTATTACATTAACAAATACCTGAGTAAGAAGTAAAAGGGAATCGGAATGTTTTAAAGGAGCGGGTGTATCACAGTCTACTGAGAGGTGAGAATCGCTTCCCTCTCGCTGGTGCTTAGACAGGTACTCTTCAGAGCTCTCCACCATAGCTTGCATCTCAGCCACCCTCCGCATAACCTTAATGTACCAGAAACCAGATGAAAGTATTAGTACACCGACAGGAATAAATTATTTATTTAAAAAATTATTCATTTCCAGAAACTACAACTTAATTATGTATCATATCAGTAGCAACCCCTTAACTAATATCTGTAATTCATACTTCGCTAAAGGTATTAGGTTGACCCATTCAGCCAAAAAATGAAAATCTGACAGTCAAGAGATAAAGCAGGCAGTTGAATTACAGTGCTCATCATGCTGTCATCCAAAGATTACAGTGAGGCAAAAAATCTGGCATCTCTACCAGACACTGGCGAATGGATTACTCAAAGGATGTTGGAGGACTTATTTATTTTATGTTAATTTATATCTATGTGTTTGTGTATAATTTTAAACAAGATCACAAAACAGAAAGTATAATACATTGGTTTTTATAAAGGTTTAAGTTTAAGTAATGTGCACTTAAAAACATTAATTTTGTTAAATATACAGATGTAAGTGTACTTTACTGTATAAATAAATTTCCAAAACCTAATTTTTATTTTGAAAGGCTGGTGTAACAGAAAATAAATTCCATTAAAAATATATTTTTTGAGAAGATCAAGGAGATTGATTAGAAAGCCAAGTCAAATAAATTAGGTCAAAAATAAAAAGCTAGACTAAACTCAAAAAATAATATCATGCATACACAGATTAGAGATATAGTTAATGAAGGGTGTAAAGAGTTTTCAGATCTTTAATGACTTTTAATTGAAATAATAATAATAGATATTTAACACATTATTAAAGATATATTAAAAAAAAAAAAATGAAACCAGTTATCAAAGGATACTGAACATATTTAACAGGAAACTGAAATAGAAATTCAAGTAAAATAATAATAGCTGCTAATATTTTATCAAAAGAAACTATCATGAAGATCTTATTATAACATTAAATGGATAATAGCAATAAAGAAAACCAAATAAAAATAAGTGATAAATTTAATATAATCCTGAAAAATAGTAAAGGTTGTGTAAAAATAATACAGGATTTGCCTTACTTCAACTTTGACCCACATGTCAAATAGTGAACAAATTTGTTTTGATTAATGTGAATTACTTTTATTTGAGAGAATTACAAAATTGAATATTGTATGTTACATAGCTTAAACAATATGGTTTAAAATAAGTTAATGTTTAAAATAAATTTAATATTTTAAAAAAGGAATTAGAGCAGTAAGGTGACAATATAAAGGAGATTTACTCTTCATAAATTATATAAGTATAATTAATATTAGTGAATCCATATATGTAAATTTTGCAGTTTTGGGGTTTATGATTTTCTAAATGACATTTAACACGTTAGCTATTGTTAAGGTCCCTGGGTTCCGATATTCACCTCGATTTCGGCCGAGATTCTTTCGAATTTTGCCTATCTTACGAAGTTTTTAAAATGGTCATGGTTTTTAAAAATATTTGAATGAGAGTTGGAAAGATGTAAAGATAGACGCAAATGTAAATAATCATTAAATCTGATATAAAGCTTATCAGATGGCGGGGACCGTAACCGCAGCTAATGTGTTAATTAATAAAATTGAATGAAAGTAGCACAAGTAAGGTAAACTGAATTTAACATCTGCAACCACAATTTAAAACCAATTTTCACAGTTTGTCACATTTTCAGATATGCAACTTTGTTGGCATTGCATGAACAATATATAATGCATTCTTTCAGTTCTGCAGACACAATTCAAAGTAAGAGAAAACCAGCATTATTTTTACATTTACTTATACCTGTATTTTTATATTATGTGAAGTGAAATTCACATGCAAGGTAAAAAACAAACATGCAGTCTGGAAGAGACAGCTAAAAATTATTAAAAAAAGAAAATTTTTGTAATATAAAATATTAAGTTTACACCATTTAAATAAAGTTTATTTTGAAAAAATGAGTCAAAAAATATTTCTTTCACAGGATAAATTGGAAAAGGTAATAGGATGCTCGGATGTGTAGGTTATACCTCAGGGTTGTGGGCTTCAATGTAACCATCTCGCTCAAGGATTTCCATTGAGACTACACTGTGGAAGTCAATACCGTTGTTACCAGGTGACAGGGGTTTCATGCCATTCCGGTCTTTCACTTTACCAGGCCTAACGCACACAACACACCAACACAACCAAATTAGTGTTAAGGATTGGAACACACATGAAGTTACATACAATTAGATGTAAAAAAAAAAAATAAATAAAAAAGTGAGCATTAATAAATAAAACAAGCAATGAATGGCCATAAATTAAGGGGCATCATGGAATCTAAATAAATAAAAAATTAAATAACTATCTAGATAAAATAATAATAATAATAAAATCAGGTTTAGGAGTTTTGATATATAGAATGGTACATAAAAAATAAATTTAAATCAAGCAACATCTCTCACAGGGGTCAGTTCAGGTAGTGTCTAAACTACTTCAACAGTTTCTTAATTGCATATGCACAAAGTCCATTTTAGCTACTCATAAAAATAAAGATCCTATCAAGGGTAATTAGAAATCATACAATAAAAATCATAAAATATTTAATCAGTATAAACTCACATGTATAAATTATATTAAAATAATATAAAATGTTAAGTAAATTATGACAATGATTAAGGAGAAATATTTGTAATATTTTATGTCAAATGGATTCAATTTCAATTTGTTATCATCTTTGAAAAGTGAAAAGTTTTTTGTTTTAGAAAAATCATCTTTATTCAGGAACTAAGTCAAGAATAACAATATAGTTCATACAAATAGTAGGTGCTTTATGATGATGAAACTAAACGAGGTCAATAATTTACATAATGAAGGGATTGAGTCAAAAGACCAAGATCCAAGTCAAAATCAAACCTATATTATAAAATTATAGTGTGTGTTTTAGCAAAAGTTCAGTAATAAAACTACATTAATTAATTTTCTGTGATTATAATAACATTCATTCACTTGTTAACTGTATAAACGTTTTTGAGTTAAGACAAAGAAAGCTTAGAATCATTTTTACCATAAGTGTTACCATCTTTGCTTCAGCATACTTATACATTAGGAGGCAGCATTTGTCACCTCAGAACAGGATTTACAAAAATATATGCATATATTTCCTTCACCTATCATCAGTTTCAATGTGAAACTGTGACAGTAAATTAACTATTTAATTTAGTGAATATACTAAATTAAAAACCCTGTAATATTACAACCCGTATAGGGTCTAGGGTTCAGTACTTTGTAATAAAGTATTGTTTCTTGATCAATGGTTGCGCCAGGAGAATATTTGATCTAGATGACGCCCAACCTTCGGTTCTTTCTCAATAATTAGTTCATAGAGATTATACATTTTATGAAGTGTATCCCACGAGGGTCTCCTGACCCAATGGTCAATCCACACCTTATGTAACAGAATAACTAATTACCCGCCATATCCTGACTTCACCTCTAGATCTAGGAGCTTATTCACTTAACTACCCTGCTCTCTGCACCTTACTTTTACAAATAACAATTAATTGATAATTTTCAACTTGAAAGTGTATCATTAGCCAGTTCTTACTTGAAAGTTGGTCTAAATCATCAGGATTGCAATTTTCCACTGTCAAAACAAAATGTGTACACTTCAGCAGAAAACGAAAAACACTACAATCGCCAGACCTTTATCTAGGAGATGTTAAACCACCATACACCGATAACTGTAGATTCTTGGAATTGTTGTTAGACAAACGTCTGTCTTGGGAACATCACATTAAGTCATTGAAAGAAAATTGCGCAAGAAAGCTTAAGATATTAACGGTACTAAGTGGAACAAAGTGGAGAGCGGACAGGAATACAATGCTAAAAGTGTATGAAGCATTAATAAGTTTTAAGGTAGATTATGGCAGTTTTGTTTACGGCTCCATTCGTAAAAGTAGTCTTGCCAAGCTTGACTCAGAGCACCACACAGGAATACGCCTCGCTACTGAAGTCTTCAGGACTAGTCCAACCCTTAGTCTCTGCATCGATTCAGGTCTACTACCTCTCCTTTTCAGAAGACAAAAATTAGCAACAAATTACATAACAAAATTGTACCCACAAACCACACATCCTGCCTACAAAAATATTTTTGAATCTAGATTTTCTGCAAAATTCCAACAAAAGAATAATGCAACACTGCCATTAGCAGAAAGGATGATGTTTGCAATATGTAAGTTGAAACAGATCAACTTAAATATAATTCAAAATGAAATACCCTCTTGGACTTTTATATAGCCTAAATTAAATCTGTTGCTCTCCAAATTTAAAAAAGAAAATACAGAACCTGGAAAATATAAAAAACTATTCCATAAAACGATTAGCTCTCTGCCAGAACACTTATTAATATTCACTGACGGTTCTAAATCAGACACATTAACAGCATCCGCCTTCGTCACACCTGATGCTATCTATAAATGTAAACTACATCCACTTTGTTCCATATATACCGCTGAGATTATTGCCATCGCGATGGCTCTACGACATGTGATAAATTTGCCAGTTGCAAATGTGGTTGTGGTGTCAGATTCTTTGAGTTCCCTTGAAGCCATGAACAACATGTATCCAGGCCACATAGGAATATATACTATTTTGGGGCTTATAAGACAGCTAAGTAACATTGGAACATTAGTACATTTTTTATGGTCCCCTGGTCATGTAGGCATTGTTGGTAATGAAATGGCTGACAGAGCAGCAAAAGAAGCTCTTACCCTTCCAGGAGGTGGTAAAGCCTTCTTGACTGCGTCCGAATTGGCGGGACCCCTGAAAGAGGCAATACACCAAGATTGGCAGACATTATGGGACAATAGCCCTCCAAATAAATTAAAGGCGATAAAAAAGGAAGTGAAGCCATGGAGCAGTTCCAGTAGCAGTAAACGAAGAGAGGAAGTTGTCCTTACGCGACTAAGAATAGGACATACCAGGCTTAGGCACCTTCACTTAATTACGAATGAAAACCCGCCCATTTGTCAGAAGTGTGGAGAGAAAATGACAGTGATCCATATCTTCAAGAGTTATGCCTTTTACATTAGACAATTAAACATAAGGGGAATACCAGCAAATACACTAGCTGCTTTGGGAAATGATGAAAAAATCTTAGGCAAAATCATAGTTTTTTCTCCGAAGAAGGAATCTTAAAAAATATCTGAAACTCTCACGCAGCACTCCCCCTCTCTTTTTCCTTTTACCATTTTTGTTTTTTTCTTCTCACCACTTTTTTTCCCTATTTCTTTTTTACTTAATGTGTGAACTTTAAATAACTAAACTTTAATAACAATAAGCAACTTTTAACCTTAACGTGCATCTTACATTTTTTTACTTTTATACAATTCTTAATATTCATAACCAAAAGATATAATAATATATAGTTTTGATTAACTGCATTGATGACTGACAGGTTTCACGCCTTTACTATACAATCAACCAACCAGTTCATACTAATTTAAAAAAAAAAATCACAGTATGATGAAAATGAAAATGAAAAAAAGATTTTTAAGTATTACTTTGTCTGTCTTAAAAAGTTAGGATTTGTTAGATAAGCTGTTTCAAACTTAGACTGACAACATGTAACAACTTAGTTAATTAACTTTACTTAATTTATTTTAAATTAATAATTTATAATAATATGCCACTTTAATGAAAATTTTGATAATAATAGAAGGAAAGGAAATTATGATCCCACCAATTTTTTTATACAAGAATATCTTTTGTGATTTTTTTAAACACTTGAATACTAAAATTAAGATTTTAAAAATGACATAAAGCTAAACATCAGAATCTATAAACAGAGAATAAACAAAAGTAATAATAAAAAAAAATTGGCATGTCATGCATACTAACACATTCATATTATTGTCGACACCATTGCTGCGTATGACTCTACTGTTGTTTCGGCTCAAGGTGCCATTTCCATTTGCTTTGATCTATAAGCACACAAAAATTATAAATGAAATATTCTATGGAAAGTAATCAATGATCGAGAGACAAATGAATAAAAAAAAATAAATAAGAGAATCACATTAACAAATTGAAAGTATTTCAACACATACTAAGAAAGCAACAATAATGAAACTTAATGTCTAGAGATTAACAATAACATTATTTCAAAAGTTTAGACTATTCTTATAAGCTTTGGTTTATTTTTTTTTTCAAATGTTTTTGTTAACTCATACTTAAACAAAATGATATAAAATGTTATATCATTGAAAGCATAATGAATAATTTAGTATTTAGTTAGGTAAATCTACCTGTCTAGAAGACTGGCTTAGAGTGTGAAGAGGTATGGCAAAGTTAACCATTCTAGGTTCATTTTGGTCAGTTTCAGGTCCGTAAGACCAAACAGCTGGCCTTACTATATGCTGAGAATGGTACAAGGGAGCTGCAAAATCAGTGTAATTAGAACTAAATTGATTAATACAACATGAAATCTAAATATTTTATCCAATTTTCAAATAATTTATGTGTATTAAAAATGTAAATGTATGCAATAATGTAGATGATCATAATCATAATCACTAATTTAAAAATACAGTAGGTAAATAATATAAAAATACCAGGCAAAACAGTTTAAAAAAAAACTGGTAAAATATGAATCAATTTTTTTTTTTTTTGTATACATAACTTATTTTTTATTAATATTTTTTTTATACTGATCACCTGAGATTTGCTATGTCTGCTCTGCCTGTATGTTAAGTAATGTTTTTATTTTCTTATACTTCAATTAGAAGAACACTGAATAGTTATTTATACTGGGGTTAAATAGATGTAAAATGTTAATACCATAATCTTCCATTAACTTCATAATATTTTTATACTTGCTCATTAATTAATTAAAATTAAAATTTCAAAATGCTTATCTAAGTATCCCCAGAGACTACCTCAATTTATTTACGGTATTTTAGGTTCTTATATATATATATGTATAATTCTCTTGTCTTTTTCTCTCTCTTTTTCAATATTCTTATTTAATTAACTCATATTTTAAATATATAATTTATTTACGACCACACAGACATGCAATCTGTACTTATAATTTGTTTTAGAGGGACAGCAGTCCCAGAATAATAAAATATATTTTCATTTCAATATTCTACTCTGTTCATAACATAATAATTAAAAAAAGTTCCCTTATTTATAACTCACCTGTGTCTATAATCCAATCATCTGGATCTGAGTGAACAGGGAGATCTTTAGCTGTAAAAAGCTTAAAATACCCTTGTAAAACTAAAACTAGTTCTTCTGCATCCCTTTCTTCAACAGTAAACCTCAGTTCCTAAAATTATATGTAAACAACATAAATATAAATAAACAAATTTACACGAAAATAAGGTATTAACATCCCGAATAATAAACTATCAATATCACAGACTCGTATTATATAACCAACTTTACCTTATTGTGGGAAGAAGGTAAGAATAGTGCAACAGTAGAAAGCAAATGGTCTTCTTTCTGTATTTGTACCATGCTCAATTGTTCTATATCTGCTACTGGAATAGGCTGAAATTAAAATCATCAATATTATTGGTTCATAAATACTTATACAGATAAAGAAATTTTTAACATAAAGTACCAAATTAAAGTAAACAGTGAAAAGAAAGGGTGTTTGAAGTATAATACAATTGATGTACAGTAGCAGTTTTTTAGATAATAATTATTTTATTTTTCTGTGTTACGCTAAATTATAGAGGGAAAAAATTGTGTAATTTTACAATGTAAATTGGTTCAAAAGAAATCATTTACTATTTATAACTGTCCATTAATAAAGATTTTACAGCATCCAGTTTCTTAAAAATGTTACAAAAATGGATAAAAATAAGTAATATTTAAAGTCTAAATCACTTTATGTCAACAACTTACCATATTGCTCCTAAGTCCAGTGATTTGACTTATACCTAATTTCGGACTCACTAATATCACATTCTCAACAGTAGTGTCCTGAAAACCACAATAATGATTAGATATAGAAGTACCGAGTTCAAACAATAATTAAAAGTCTTTCAGAAAATTCAGTTATTTCAGAGAAATTTAAATTAATGTCTTCTAATGTAGTTTAATTTTATAAAAAAATTATTAACATATCGATTACAATACTTCACATCTGTGACGTTAAAATATTTACAACAATGTACAACTTACAGAATCGGTGACCATGGTATTGGTTGGAAAACATTTAGCTCCGTAGCTTGGTAACTGGCTGATTATTGTCAGGTAATACAGTTTTGCTTGAAGCGCTGTGAGGCACTTATGACTAGTCCCTGTCATTGTGTAGTTTAGCTTGAGGAGATGAGTCAATACCTTCCGCAGTTCTTTTCGTTTCATAGTTTCTAATAAAGAGCTCGGAACAAACCTTTCAAGCCCAAAATCTCTTCTGCAATAAAATATAACTAGCAATACAATTTATAAACAAATAAAATAACAAAAATTTGAAACAATACTCGCATGTGGTAAGGAAAAATAAAAAATAATAAACAAACTTACTCTACTGATTTAACAGTAATTTTAGATGGTTGGATATTATTTGCCAAACAGTGCTGGTGAATATGTAATGCAGCAAGCCTTAGAGCCACATCATATTTCAATTCCGGGGCATACCTTTCTTGCACTACATCATTGCAGCACTAAAAAAAATAAATTTTTGTAGTTAATGATGCCTAATTTTATTATTATTGAATGAGAAATAAATTTTTCCTCGAAAACTAAATGCAATTTCCACGGAAAGTCAATGAAAAACATAAAAATACGTTTTCAGTTTGATAAACCAAAATTTTTCAATGAAAAATAGAATTGTGAAATAATTTCTAAAAGCAATATACAATTTATTTAATAATAGTAATCCATTAACATATTTAAATATTCTTGGAATAAAAAAATATAAAGTACTAAAATTAAAAATTATATGAAGTAGCATTTGTTGTTCTAAAAACAGGAAACCAAAACTTAAAAATTGAATGATGTGCTTACTCGTAAAATAGATTTTTAAAATGGTACCTGTAAGTAAAAATATTCAAAAGCAGATAAGTCTTTTTGTGCGAGATCACAAGGATCACTAGGGACAAACGCTACCCTAAAAAGGCATCGTAAATTATGGGTCCCTGGTCTGGAAGCAACCTGAAAGTAAGAATAAGAAAGCATTAAATTTATATGTGGCAGTAGCTATTATAAAATTTTGAATATTCTAGATATATTTCAGTAAAAATATTCAATTAGTATCAGTCAGTGTTGGGCGTTATTCGAATAAATTATTTGAAATTTTATCTAGATAACGAATAATAGATAACATATTTATTCATTATTCTTATTCGACGATAAGAGTTTCTTTGGATAGATAATTATTTGTTATTTACAGATAATATGCATTATCTATTATTCATTATTTAACATAAAAATACGATTCTATATTTAGGTCTGTTTATATGTTTTAGGGGCCATAGTTTTTGAAAATCATCCCTATTTTAGGATTATGCCACTGCATTTTGACTTATTTGCGGTTTTCGCAATTTACTTCATATGAGGGTCTATTTATATGTTTTTGGGGCCATAGATTTTGTTGATATTCATTTTGAGAATGTAAATAGGAAAAAAAAAAATGTTACTCGAGATTAATTAAACAAACAATAATTGTAATACAAAAGTAATTGAGATTTAATATTTATTTAATTTTTTAATCATTTTAAAAGAAAATAAAACTACTTAATACTCATGATGTACTAAATATTACGCACTCTTGCCAGTGTGTGCCTAGGGTCTAACAAAGTCAGCTTATTCCTCCTAAGAGTTTTAACTTGCTCTAAAACAAGTGCGAAATGGGCTGTTTCTTTCAGACACAGCTTTGACTGAAGTGAAGATAAAACATCACCAACTGTTGTGTTGCTGTCATATTTAAATGATTTAGTTTGCCCATTTTCTAGAAAAACTTTTAAAACATTTGGCAGAACTGTTCCTGAACCCCAGTCACCTCCACTCAATGTACAACCCTGAAAGAAAAAAAAAACATATAATAAGAAAAATAACAAGTTTTTAATAATCATGAATAATTTTATAAGGAGAAAAACTTACTGGAAAGAGTGGTGACCCATTGACGACGACTCCTTCGGCAAATCGAACTCTCGAAGGATTTGATTTTAATTTGGCTTTTTTAGCTGAACTCAATATTGCAGATTTCCTTAATGACTGAAAAAGAAACAAAACAATATAGGTAAAATAATTGTAAAAGAAAAAAAAATTAATTTTTCAAATTTCACTCTCAATCGCTACATATTTATTTTTGAAAATAAGAGGAGGCAAAAACAAAAGAAAATAAATTAAGGGGCTTACAATGATAAATATTTTCAAAGTTTAATCATGATCCTTGAATAGCACTTTTTTTTATTACCACAAAAAGTATGTAAACAAATGTTGACAACTTTGAAATAAATGGTTCAATTTAGCATATTTTTAAGCTTCATTTTTTTATACATTACAAGTGAAGTATCCAAAATAAAACAGGTTTGATAATTTAAAAGTTAATTAATTGGAATAATTACTTACATTAATAAGAATAGGTTGACAAACCACAAGTTGTACTGACGTTTTCGAAGCTCTAACAAGCTGGATGACATGATCTCGCGGAGCACAACTCACATCCTCTGAGTTGACCTCAAGTATATGGTCACCTGGGAGAAGCTTCCCATCACTGGGTCCTCCCTCGGTAACAAACCTGAAAGGAAAATAAAATGAAATATTAATATCTACAAAAATATCATTTAGGATTAAGTTTCTGTTTATAATATTGTCATAACCTTATACCATTAGTTATTTAATGTCTTACAAACATTAATATTTATTGTAAAACTAAATTTAATTTAAATAAGTGTAGAAATAATTAGTAAACTTCATAGTACTTCTCCACTATTAATTTGGTTAGCATTATAAAATCAAATATTTTTACTATCAATTAATCCTTCACATAATGACATTTTTAACAAAAGCCAAATGAAACATTAATTTTAAGAATAAGAATTTTTAATATAATAAATCAAATAAAACATAAAATGATAAATACAGCTAAATGCTTTAAAAAATGTATGGCCCACCAGAAATGTTAAATAAATATAAATAGAGAAGTAATATGAAAGCCTTTCATTCATTCTTCCTACGCTGTTTTACATTGATAACAGCTAATGGGCCTTCAACAAGATAAAATTGACAAATAAAATTTTTAATAAAGAATACCGAAAGCCAAATTTGTATAATGATCAAAGTATAACATCAACTTTATATTTACAATATGTGAGTTTCTGAAATAATTGGATACTTCTTTGATCGTCTCTCAAGAATAGGATTTTCCTTTTCAGTTATTTATTGTAATGGTCTACAGAAAAATCGTGGAATTTCCTACTCATATTTTCCTTCAACATTCATATCTTTATAAGGAGATTTAATATCAAATAACTGTGTTTGTTATATCAAAAAAATTAAGTGAGCCCATAATATTTATGACTTAATTAATATATTAGATAGAAATAAATTACATGATTTTATTAATTAAAATAAATCCACAATAATAAATTTAATCATTAAAAATAAATAAATAAATTACCACTACAATTCTCATCTTATGTTTCCAGACATGAATTTCTTTTAAAGAAAAAATGAAATTTTAGTTTTAAGCAGGATTTAAAAAAAAAATAATGATGATAATTTCGAAAATCTACATAAGATTTTCCTTAAATTTATGTTTAGAAACAAAAAGTATTTAGAATCGTATATTTTATATTACATCGTATATTACAATATTACTAACGAAAGGATATATTTTCTTTATAGGATTTTAAATTTTAGATATAGAGATTTTTGGAAAATTTGATGGATAAAAGCAATTTTTCAAAACATAGCTACATTCTCAACCAAACCACCCTCAGTATTTATAAGATTACTTCTTTATTTATAAGAGTATTATAAAACTATTATATATTAATATTTAATATAAACTACTAATTATTAGATACTGTGTAGATCATTTAATCCAATAAAATTAATTTAATTATAAGTAGAAATGAGTTTTTTTAAAGTTTTTTTTTCTTGTTATAAATACATCCACATATAGATGTAATTTTGCCATATCAAATTTATATTGAGGTTATATAGAGTTAAGGTCCATATGTACCCCTCCTATGGCATAAAGAACATCGGAGGACACTCATAAAGTAAAAAATATATATTGTTTGCTGTTATCTTAATATACCTCATAATAAATTATGTGATTTATGGTCAGAGAAAACTGTAATTCATAGTTAGAAATTTAGAAAGATTGGAATTGGAAAAATAAACAAAAGGAAAGAAAAAATGACCTCGGGTGTAAACCATACAGTTACAACAGTATTAACCGAATAGCTTTGTCCGATTTAGACAGAATTAATTTTGAACTGCAATAATTTTAAAGTACATAACAATTATCTAAACGTGTTTTAATTATTTACTTCCTTTTTTAAAGAGATTTAATGGTCACCACGTTCTAGGTACACCCTCTGGAATATTAATGAAGTCGATAAATGTTTTATAAAGCTACTCGCCAGAATATTTTCTTGCAGAAGATACTGAAATGGAATTTTTCAGTTCAAAGTTACCTATTTAATTAATATTCGAGTATATCTATGATAAGAGTTTGATTATTTTTAAAAATATTGATGGTTAATAACGATGAATCATGAAAATGATGTTTGATGACAATATTACAAAATATTTAGTGAGGGCCACAAAATAAAGAAATATAATCATTGGGAGCAGTTTAGCGTATTTTTGAAAAGAAAAAAATATTTTTAAATAAGTAATGAAGGCAAGTTCCATTCAAATGTTATGTTAGAACGTTCTGAATGTCTCGTTCTTAAAGTAACGTATGAGTTATGCACCGAAAAGATATAAATACTTTCAGAAACATTCCCCTAAACGTTTTCATAAAGGGTTTCTCTTCAATGACATTCTTGAGATTGTTTTGTATGGGCTGAAGTTTTGGGATTCTGTGCCCTGAATGTCTCTTTGGGTTGATATCATTTATAACTAAAAGATCATGTATATGGGCATAGTGTCTGCGAATCTATGAAAAATAAAAGTGAATTACACTTTATAAAATTTTTTCATTGTACAACAGAGTATTCCTTTTATATACACGCTATTTTTATATGACAAATGAATATATATTTAATTAATGAATTTATATTTAAGTTTAACGTCCTTATGTAGGACAGAAAAGGTGGGTCCTCCTACCTATTAGCCTATCCTAGATTAGTCAACCTATTCTAGTAAAGAGTGAAAAGGTTGAGGTCCTTCCGTGATTTCGTGATTATATAAATTTCAACCCGCCTAGATCGGATTCGAATCGGCGGTGTTCTGATTCGCCCAAGGTGTTCTAATAAATAGTTAAAAAAATATAATAATATATGACAAAACATTGTTTTTATTGCTATTGTTTCGTGTGTATCACGTCAATAAAAATACAACAGCAATTTTTTACGTGCAAAAATAATGATTCATCTCTAAATCTCGATGGCCCCCTCAATAAACATAGAGAGAGGGCGAGAATATCGTTTCTATAAACCTATCTAAAATAAAATCAAAGTCAATACCAATTAATATACATAAATGAATAAAATATGTTTACTAAAATCAATTAAGGAAATAGGAAAAGTCGACCAGATGGCTTAGCTTAGAAGTAGGTGCGCAAGTATTTTACCGCACCTTATGTTTCTATTATTGAAAATTTAGTTTATATACAAAAATAATTATATCTAGCAACATATCCTAGGATTTTATTTTTTTATTAATGTGCACTCTTTCATTTTTACGTTAAGATTTTATCACATTTACCGCGGCGATTTTGAATCATTGGAGAATTGAGAGTTCATGGCACTGCCTCAAATCTTTAAAGAAAAATATATAATATATTCCAATTGCCTTTTTAACATTTTTTCAAATAAACCCGTGCGTAAAAAAAAAAATCTAATATACACCCAAGTTTATTTATATATATATAGTATTACATCGTTTTACAATAATAATGTTAATTTTTATACTTCATATAAAATCCCGAGAATTTTTTTTGGGTGGGGAGAGCCCAACGCCTCCCAACCAGAATGAAAAGTTTGCGCCCATGATCCCACATAATACAATTATTAGATACTAAGAAGAGGGCCATATGAAATATGCATCCGAATGTCAAGTAATTAAATTTCGATCATAATGACAAATTTCGACAAATATCCGGTTTTTCATGGGGATTTATACATTTGCCTATTTCTAAGTCTGCTTCAAAATATCTTCGCCAAACTGTGATGGATACCGGGTACCCGGCGGGAAGATGGTATGCCCATCCTTTGGGATAACTGTCACATCCAAGGCTAGCGTGACCGATCCATATTAACCACCACACTTCTGACTTTATCGACCCAATTGACCCAATTTTAGGAAATTCGCTTTAAGATAGTGGCCTTTCCCCGACGATATTATCTTCAGGGACGAACAGATTAATTTATTCTAGTTTATAGCTTATCATTATAGCTGTTTTTTTTATTTAATAAGAGTAATGTTTCATAAACGTGATGTACATACCCCGACAAAATTATCTAAAATAAAAATAACAAAAATACAAATTTAATATTTGATAGTTGACCGTTGAACTAAATTACTTTAAGACTAAACAGAAATCAAGTTTGATTCTCCTAAAAGCAAGATGTCAAGATGGCCTTTGATTTGTCTTTTGGTTAACACAAATTGCACACTTGTATCTTAAAGATAACATATCCTCCGCTATGTAAAGATATATATGCTGGCCGAGTAAGGAAATGACCCCATTTGCAGGCAAACGACACCGACTCGTTTGGATCCAAACGACAGTATTTAGTCTATCTGGGACGGTCGATGTTCGATTGGCGTGAATTTATGACAGCGATGGCGGTCGGGGGGGGGGGCATTAGCAGAGCTAGATTGGAGTATTTGCCTCCGGGGCATTAGGCTAAAGGACGACCTGTCACCAGCAACTTCGTCCATCGTCCGTCTTTTTGCGGCTCTTCCCCGCTTCTTATAGCCTTAAAGTATCCCTCCACCTTCCATCAGCTATTCAGATATTCGGGTACTTGTTACCTCGATAATAAATCCCAGGGATATTCTCAAGTAATAGATCACAGGCACACAATTATTGAATGGAACAGAATTAGTTTCTTGAACGTAATAAACATTAATTAGAGTTTGGAAGATCGGACGACTAATCAGTTGTTCAAATGGATCCTCAAGTAGATAAATAAAAATAAATCCTGTGATAAATAAATTCTAAACTTTATTGAACATGCAGTTAGAATTAAAAAAAAAAAATCTGCAAATTACTACACAATGGTTTATTATTTCCAAATAATTCAACACCAAAACTAACATTACTAATCGTGTGATATAAAGGAAAATAAATAAAACGGTGATTCCTAATATTGGCCTAAATAATTTTTTTTTCATCATTGATAATTTGTTAAGAAAAATAGGCAATATTGCTTCAGTTGATATAAAACTTTTAAATACAAACCAAAACGATATAAGCTTTACAGTAGAACATATGAAAACAAATTAGAACACCATATCTTTGTACCAAATTGTCCGATTTCAACGATTTTTTCTTTCAACTTTTTAAATACATCGACAAAAAAGTATACTTCTCGAGTTATTCGGAAATCTAGTTTTACTAACCCTCTGAACTTTTTTTCCAGCTTCTTTTCCTTGAAGTACGTTACATAGATAAATTTAAAGGGCTTCTAGGAGAAGACTAGCCAAGTTTCATTGAAATCGGTACATTCGTTTAGGCGCTACAAATCTATACTAACAGTCTATATAATTTCCGGCCGCCATCTTGAAAAAAAAGGCGGATAGTAATGTCGAGGTTAGGATGACCATCCTCGGGTGATCTTTGACTTTGATTCCAAATTTGAAAAAAAATTAGACGCAGAGAGTCTCGGAAAAAAAGCCGCGGACGTCGGACGGACAAATTTTTTATTCGATTTTCGAATTCCACGTATCGTGAAGCGTTAAATCTCAAATTTTGCGGGGGAGGGTTGAATTTTGTTGACGATTACAATGGTTCGTTATTGAAAATAATAAATCAAAAATAAATATCTACTTCCTTATAGGTAAGATAGAAAAATTCTTCTTAAAAATGGATCGAAAATTGTCTGGTAGCAAATAACAATGTTCACAAACAAGTGAGAATGTTTCTCGAACTCTCAACTTCATTTTTTCACTGATTTTAACACTGTATGCTTAACCTCTGGGAATACAGACAGCGAATAGGAAAGTTATAAAAAAAAAATAAATAAATAATTCTAGCTCAATTTTGTCAGGTAACAGCAATGGTTACACACCGCAGTCTCGTAAATGTTAGCAACTTCGGAAGACGAACAAATCCAGAACTTGGAGGCTGAGATGAAAGGGTGACCAGAAGTGGGTAGCATGGGACAAGTCGCGCTAACAAAATTTTTCTGGAGGCACAGTTTTACAGGATTTTGAATTTTCAAGAACACATTTTTATGGAGTTTTAAATTTTCGAGGACTCATTTTTTTGGAGTTTTAAATTTTCAAGGTGATCATATTTTTACGGAGTTTTGAATTTTTGAAGGGAACACGCTTTTACGGAATTTTGAATTTTTGAGGACACATTTTTATGGAGTTTTGAATTTTTGAGAGGAGGTACATTTTTATGGAGTTTTGAATGGTCACATTTTTACCGTTCCATTATTTTTTGTAGGCTTTAAATTATCGAAGGAACGCGTCAGTCAAAACATGTAACACGCACAGGTTAGGGTAGTTGTAGATGATATTCAAGTTTTTAAAACTTTCTTTCGCTTGCACTGTTTCTAAGAGGAGGGGAGCATTAAAATGTCATAGGATGGTGGGAGGAGGAGGGGGAGGGATCATACACCATCGAGCTTGGAGAAAAGGGCCATCCCTGCTGAGATTATTATATTTTTCAGTCATGATATCGCTTGAATATGTGAAACGACGTTTAGTTTGTAATTGCTATTATGTGAGAGAAAATTTGAATTTTGTTTTTTCGAATAATTATATGATTATATTTTTTTTTTTATATATAAGTTACAAAAACGGTATATTTATTGGAGAAATTATCCTTTTTGTTCCAGAAATGGCATAACAGTTATAACAAGGAGAATAATAATGAATAATCAATATCACAAACAAAGATCAGGATTTTTTTTTCCAAGATGAGAATGAGAATACGGCCTCAAGAAGGTGTCCTAACGTCTATTAAAACAGGGCCAGATGCCTTTGGGAACTTGTTAATACTAACAGGATCTATTAGTTTGCAGCACTCAATGTCTGTGATTAGATCACATCCAAAGTGAAAGTATCGCAGTCTAGTCAAATTATCACATCTACAAATAATGCGATAGGAAAGATCAGGAGTTTCTCCAGGTTGCTCTCTCATTCCAACCATTTCTTCTACATTTAATAAATATCGAAATAATTCGAACCACTAGTCTCAATCCCCATCAGGATTCATTACAAAAACCCTTATCAGAAATCGAGAATACGTTCATTAGCTTCATGAGAATAATGGTTTGGATTAATGAGATTTCGAATTAGATGTTGAACTACAAATGTGATATGAATTCTACTGTTTTTTCTTCTTTAATAATTCTATAGAATCTATAGCACAGTGTTAAGGACACTGTCGCCCAAGAAAACTTTAGGTGATTCACCTTAGTTGAACCTAACATACTTAAACTATGCCAGTGAAGATATAATAAGGGTTAATGATATCATAATTATTTTGTTTTATATATAGACTTACCTAACTATAACCGGTCGTTCTGAACCAGCAACGAATCCGAACCCCATCTCTGGATGCCGCGTCAGGATGACGGATCGCGGTTGGGGTGGCTCTTCGCTCCAGTCCAGGACTGGCTCCTCGTAGGTCGTCGTCTTGTTCACATGGCTACAAAAAAAAAAAATTAAATAATTAAATAAAGAAATATTAAAAAAAAAGATGATATACTCAATACTATAATAATTGTAAATTTATAACATATAAAAATCAGGTGCACATGACACAGCTTTCGCTTACCACTTTACATCGACTAGAAATTATTTCCAGGCAAAATTAGGATATTATAAAAAGTTTTTGAGATGAATTTTTAATGGAGCCAAATCTTAAAGAACACATTCCTGAATTTCGACCACATTTATCGATGTACTGTAAGATCATCAAAATAATACAAAATGTTTTCACTAACGATCCAGGAAGGGGCAGGTCCTCCTCTCTCCCTCCCCTCTAAGAAAGTATAAAAAATTGCATCTTAAAAAAGTAACTAAAATACCGGCCCTTATATTATTATATTTTTAATTAAAAAGTGAATTGTATTAAACAAACGATAACATACCAACATACTACAAAATATTTCATAATAACTTACACGGACATATCAACTCATTGATTCGAGGCATGGTCACAATTAACATGACCGATAGCAACCAAAGGAGGCTTAAAAGAAGCTGGTTGAGGGTTCTCCTCTACTAACTATAAATATTAAATTCAAGACAAGAAGGACGCCGCTGGGCACTCCTCTTCCTTACGCCTATTCCAAAATTTACTAATCTTCTACATCTCGACATCACACTTGCTGATTGTCGGAACTTCTGACAGGTATGAGTTGAAAAATCAAATTAAAAAAGAAGTTAATATTTACAGGATAAATTTTTCATTTATTGGCGAAATATATTAATATTGTAGCTGATAGGAGTTGCTAGAGTGATCTGATATCCCAGAAACTATTTTTAATTGAATCCCCGAAACAAAATTATGCAAACAATTAGTGTTTCATGGGTGAAAATTATCCAGTTAAGGAATTTTGTCCGCCATATTATGGAAAAATACTAGGCGAAACTAAAACATATTTCTTTTCATGTATATATTATAAACCTTTAGCGGATGGAATCCGCGTGTTTTACAAGGCTTCTTATAGGACATATTTAAATAAAAAACAACAAACATCAGAAAATTTAGAGGAAAATAGTACACGTTTTGTTTGTTCGAAAAATGTTTATGTGTTTGTTATTAAGACTCGGGCGATCATTTCAGGTTCCCCACCGTCAACTCGTACTTCCTGGAAAAGTCACACTCAATGACTTTTGTTACCATAGAGAATTTATACGGGCCCCGAATAGAGAATATAATTTAATGTGGGCTGGGCCGGAAGCCAAAATGATGTGCCAACTGGGGAAATGGATGCGATGGGGGGAGGGAGGGAGGAGAACGGTTTTGTTTAGGGGCGATACACCCCGCTCCGCTGGCACGGAACGCCATAAAGTAGCCAAACGCTCGCCAAAAACTGGACCATGTCCGCCAAATTGAGATACAAATAGAAGGTTAACAAACTCTGGATTATTAATATTTTTAATTTCATTTTCCCACCTTGGCTCTAGGAGAGGTTCCTTTAGAATCGGGAACGAGGTAGATTGGTCTCGCGCTGGATTTCGTTACTCAAATCTTGGCTTACGTACAAGATTTCTCTTAATATAAAATTGGTGGATTTTATGTTAGATTTTATATAATATTCCTGCTGAAAGCGCATTGGTACTTTAAAGTTCTGTGGGATGTCCTCTAATAGTTCTTGTAAATCAAATAAGAAAAAAATCTAAGCAGTAGATCCCTTTGAGGTGATCCTCTAAAAATCACAGCTCAGTCAAAGTAACACAAAAAAAGGGAGGGTCAAAGTTACCAAAGCTTACTAAACAAGAAATTTTTCACACAAGTGTCTTACTAGTAGTACAGTTGGAGGGTGATAAAAAAAAATTCGCGAATAAACGATAATTTTATAAAAAAACTTATAAGTAGTTTAGCTGCTTTAAAGATCCTTTTAAATGGATTTAACAAATAGAAACCACAGTTGAATTGGATTTGAAGCATTTGAAGTGAATTTTGTCCAGTTTACTAAGAAGCAATCATTTATAACCTCGATTAAATATTACGTTTGTTAATTATTTACATTTAATAAAAAGTGTGACTTACTTAAAGGACACAAAACTTTAAATTTTCTGCTTTTCAGTGAAAAATCGAACCATGTCTTATTTAAACTCTTCATAGCTCCAAATAGCCAAGTCAAATTAGCACAAAAAAGGGGGTCTAGCTTGCAGAAGGTCGGGTAATTCAAATTTCTTTATTGTATCGTTAGCTACATAGTGAATATAAAAATTTAAAAAAAAAGTTTCCACCCTTGAAAGCCTTATGGGTTCAATGCGGTGCTCCAGGAAACACGGAAATTTCGAAGATTTTTTCGTTTACGCTAAATATCTCATTTCTAAAGCGACGTAGATAAAAAATGGTTATATTCAATCTTAAACAGCTTAGAATTATCTAACATTTTTGTGTATAAAATGTTTTTCTAAACCCAACAGGAAGCGAACTATCGAGCTTTCACAATGGATAAAGTTTTGAAGAAAACAAATATTAATAATTAAATTATTATATTAATATTTTTGCGTTAATAAAATCATTATAGCACTATAACTATTTCATTTATGAGTACTTAATGATGTGGAAGAGGACCCTAGACGCCAACGCCAGTGCCGCTTTTTCCGCCGCTTAAGTGTATTTTCTAAGTGATTGATTCAAATTTTTATAAAAATAATCAGTGGTTTGGAAAGAGAAATATATTCTCTAGATGTTTTATATAACGAAATTGTTCGTTATTGTTGGCCGTTTATTTACAGAAGACGCTTGATTTTCAACTTCAGTTTGAACGACTTAATCGACTTCACGAGTATTTTTTTAAAGCCAAGGACAATTTTGTTTAAATATTTTTCATGTATTATTATTCTCTAACTATCCAGCTTTAATAAAAGACCAATTATATCGAAATTGAGCCAAGTGCTGAATCTCAGTGACCGAAAAACTAACTCAATTTAAATACGCCATTTCGGGACAATACGGCCACTTCTTTTAGTGTGAACGTGGCCTTTTTTTTAAAACACCACTGTCTACAATTTATTGGGATGTGGGGAACGAGTGCACGTTGGGAGGATCTAGCCCAACGTGTAAAATGCTTTTCAAAACACCTCCCGACTACCGTCTATCGTTCCAGTCAATGGCTCAGTATCTTCAAGGAATACCTCCAAGTTCTTTGAACGAGATTCAAAATGGAGTTACAGAATTCTTCCGTTCAAAACTGAAAGAGCGCTATTTTGAAGAAATCCAAATGGGTAAATTTGGAAAGCTTTCTGCTGGGTTTAGAAAAAAATGTTAGGTGATTTCAAGCTGTATAAGATTGAATTCAACCATTTTTTATCTATGTTGCTGTATAAAGGAGATATTTAAACAAAAAAAAAAAGTTGAAATTTCAATGGTTTTTGGAGCACCCCATCACACCCGAAATGCTTTCAAGGGCGGAAACTTGGATTTTTTATATTCACTGCATACCTTACAATATAAAAGTGAAATTTGAATTACCCGACCTTTTGCAAGTTAAGATGTATAATTTGACTGGGTTTATCAGGGAGCAACTGTCGCTCTCCGAAGAGGAAGTCAAACATTTTTAGAAGCCAATGACGGTATTTCCCAACATTCGATAAGACTTCGAAAACAGAAATAATTAAGAATTATTGTTCAATTGAAAAATTCTGGTTTATTTGTAATTTGCAAATAAAATTCAAACAAATGAAAATAGGATAAGAATATCCAAGATTTTTTATCATTATTTTTCTGAGCAACCCACTCTTGCAGTTTGTCCCGTTCCCCCAGACTCACCCTGTTTATTAAAACGTTTATGTCTATTAAAACGTATCATAAATATATGGTATATAAACATATACCATGTGGTGGTATTTGTTATGGTAATATTATAAATGTGCCTGAAAATCAACTAACAAAAAAAATGAAAATAAGATCAAGATTTTTTAATTATGTGAATTGTTTTAAGCGATGAAATTTTTTTTTTCTAAAAATAAGGTTATTTTAAAATTAAATTATAGTTTTACATAAAAAAATAAAAAATAATTTTCAAGAAAGCTGTTTTTGCTAAGAATCAAAGTGAAAATGATTCTAACAAATAGGAGGATAAGGAAACAACTAAATTTATAATATTATCAGTGCTATCATTGAAAAGTATGCTATATAACATATGTTTTATTTTATTTTGGTATATTTGAAAATGGCATTAAAGCCGAAACATCATGGTATATATTCAATTTAAAAAAATAAATAAAAGAACTGATCAATTTAAAGATATTAAAAGAATTGAATTTGTAAAAAAAAAACGACAGCAAGAACACATCTACAACATGTTTTTTAAAGACAAATTATTTGTTCCGAAAACTTTTAATTTTTCCGTCACAGGTACGTACTCGTATATTTTCCTCTTCGCTTTAACATGCAAACCTAGTAAAGGAAAGTTTCCAAAATAACACACAAGTTGCTAAAGTTAATTATACATAAACTTAAAACTTGGTCCTAAGTTGAAGCAGACAGTTTCGGTAAACTTTTTTCTTCCCACTCACTTTTGGCAAAGTTTCCTCAGGCGGGCAATAGTTTATAAATATAAAGTTAACCAAACGTAGAACGTAAAATTAATTACTAATTGTATTACAGCAATTTACAGAAAAATTTTCAACACAAAGAAAAGAAAAATCGAGTTCATCTAACTCAAGATAAATGTTTTTCAATATCAATAGTGAACTTAAGAACCTCATTCGTCCGAAAAAAAAATATCCTATTTAATTCGGGATATAAAGCCTAATTATAAATACAGATAATGTTTTTAATGTTCTTCGGATGATACTTAACATAATAAATACTTTATGTTAGATAATGATTTTTTCACATCGTTGTATTATTATTTTATGTAGTGTATATACATATATATATGTTGTATGTAATATTATGTACCTTAAACCGGCTGGCAACCTGATAATCAACAAAACAAAAAGAAAAATCAGTTTTACCTTAAGCAATTATATAAATGTATACTAAAATAATACATTTTTTTTGTAATAGGGGCTATTAAAATAAATATCAGAAACCAATAAATAATAACACCGTTATTTTATTTTAAGTTAAAAGCTCCCCTTGGCACCGGGACGCGAACTTATTAAATCTTATTTTATCACATAATCTTCTATCCTATTCGTGCTGTACACACGCGTTAGCCTGCTCGACCATTATCGCCTCCAAGATCTCGACTTTCTAACGTTTATTTCCTTCCTTATCAAAATTTGGCATCACTCATCCATATCCAGATTCAAAACCCTCCAATTCCTGTCCAAGAAACTGACAGATTCCTGCTAACCTTTTGGCATTGTACATTTATTTAATGTCATTTATCATCTATCATTTATTATATTATGTCATGTTAGTAGTGTTCTTTGCTAGGGATATTATAAGATTTTCCTACTCTTGATCTCACTGAATGCATCTGTTGTTTGTTTTTTATTATTATATTTTTATAAAATTAAATTTCTATCTATAGTTAAGTTAAGAAATGATCACGATGTATTTAGGTATTATTCATTATTTAAATATTCAGGCATTTTATATTGTCAGATTCGGCTGTCTTTTTTCTTATCGACAATATAGAGCTTATTTTAAAGAAGAACTTAATGTATTTTTTCTTAATATTTTCTTTCTTAAAAATGTATATTTATAATTTATTACCATTGTACATAGTTTTAAGTGTCTTGTCATAGTTTTAAGTGTTTTGAATATAGGTTTATTTGTTTTGTATATACCATATTTAACTAATGTTTTCTTTTTCTTTTTGTTATTGTTTTTATTTGGGCCAGATTGTAATCTTTTAAATATGTACTATTTTGTTATTCTAAAAGGACTTGGAGTTTATGATTTGTTTACCTTTCATTTGGACGCCTTTATAAGATTTATATTCATATGATTTTCTTATAAATTTTCTGCAATACATACATTTAATAAATACAAGTCCAAATATATTTTTTAGAGAAAGTTTTTATATACATTTTTACATAGTCAGGCTGTAAAGACGGTTTATTTTTATCTATAATAAAAATAAAATAGAGATTCATTAATAGAGGTTGTTCAAACTAAGAAATCAAAAGTATTTTTCAGTTTTTAACGTTATTCGTTTTTAGCAGAAACAATGATAGAAGTGTACTTATGTTACGGAGGATGCCTCCCTTCGAATCATATTTAATGTATACAAATTGTAGTATATCCAATGGTTTTGTTAAGATATTTTTAAGTATATCCAAAAGCATATAAAAAAGAAATAATCCTACAGCTGTCTAAACAATATATACATTTATTTTTAAATAACCACTACTATATTTGTTTGTTTTACAATAATTATGTTGTACACATAATATGAACTACATCCATTTCTTTTTCCCGTTCCATCGCCTTTTCCCTCTCCCTACCCCAATCAAAATGGAGTGTCTGAGCCTAAGGGGGTCTGTACTGCGGGTTATTTGTAGTTAGGAACAAAGATCGTCCTGTGAAATTACATAAATTAAAATTATCATAAAAATATATATATGTTTAGGATAATGCTTACTTTATATAATAAGTTTTGCCTCCGTTATCGACGGCTTCTTCCCAGCCGTATGGAAGTCCCCTTCCGACTTCTTTGTTCCATGCTTCCACAGGTGGAATCCAAGAACAGCTTCCTCCACTGAAAATAAAATATGAGAGGACAATTAAAAAATATGAAATAAAAGAACTCTATTAAATACTAATATTGTGTATCAACAGGTGTTGTTCTCTCTTACCCTTTTTACATCTCAATTTATTATGAAATTGATTTTAATACTGTTATAAAACAGTTATTAATATTAATGCATCGGCAACAAGAATTCAATAATTTTTATGTAGTTCATTAGAAGTACTATACTTTTTTATCACTATTAAACACAGGAGTGGACAGAAGGAGGTTTTATGGGGCAAGTTGCGTCATCAAAATTTTTGAGAGAAGCATATTTGAATGGGGTCATGAATTTTCGGAATGAAAAGAATAAGGAGAAAGGGGAAACATAGAACAGAGAGCAGCAAGTGTGATTGTGTACGATTTACGATTTTTCTAATTCTACTTTTCCTTACTCTGTTATTAGGAACAGATAGCAATAAAATATAAAATAGATATAAACTTCCTCTTTTAAGTTCTTGCGCAATCGACTTTATGGAGAATGGGTACCTCTGATTATACGATGTTTTATGAACAAAAAAAATAATTACAAAATCACATGATTTTTAAGTGTGGTATCAAAATGGCACATTTTTTTAAATACGGCTAAGCCAGGACAGACTACGCGAATTATCACTATAATAAAAAAATATACATAAAAAAGATAATTAATTTAATATGTGAAGTTTTTAGTTATTTATAAAAAATAAAGTAAAAAATGTTGAGCACTTCGCTTGTCACTCCAAATACTGTTGAAAGTTTAAAAGAGCATTATAATGTTTAAAACACATTAATTTTTAGTTATTTTTTTTAGTTAGGTTTAAAGATCACGAATAAAAGTTAAGATAGTCTTCTATTAACTGAGGTCTTCTACTGTAAGAGCCTTTCAGTTGACAGAATGACTAACTCCAATTTCAACATTTTTGAGTATAGTCATTTTAATGATATTTCTAGTTGGAAATTTTATAATATCTGTACAGATAGTGAGTAAGTTGATTCCAGAGTAGGTCATTGCAGTGCTGAAATATAAAACTGTGAATAAAGATATAAATTATCTATATAAAAATATCACTAAAATTAATAATCAAAAATGTTTAAATTGGAGTTCATTCTATCAATTGAAAGGCTCATATAATGAAGATAATGCGTATCTCATATATTATTTAGTGACAAACATGGTATAATTTAATACAGAGAAAGGTATAAATCTGAATATAATTTAAACATACACTAATTGTTCAAGGAAAATGATTTAAAACATCCTTGGAACCGATCTGGGCAGAATGGCCGAATTTTTTTTTTTTGTTTCAATTATTTTATTTGCGTTTCAGAACTCAATACAATCTTACGTTTCGGGAAGAACGAACAAGTAATCACGAAATAGCTCCTTAATCCATATTTTTTTCAATAAGCTTAAGTGAAACGCATTCCCACTTCCTGGGACTTAAATGGGCCGCTCAGCACATCTTTAACCTAGCACAATTGACTTCCTCACAACCGCTTCCCCTATATCCGGAATGCCAAAGAAGTATGTTGTTGTATAAAAAATCCTTTAAAAACCGCACTAAACCACAAAAAGTTATTTATTCAGATTGACGAGCATGTTAACATTCATCATTTTTAAAATGAGAATTACGAATCAAATAATAAAACATATCAAATAAGACCAAACTATAGTGGAATTAACATTTTAGACACGCGTATAACTTTTGATACAAACATAATAACTTTTAATTTATATAGAATTTAACGCCGCTTTCATTTCACCAATTTTATATATATATATATATATATATATATATATATATATATATATATATATATATATATATATATATATATATATATATATATATATACTTACATAAATCTCAGAAATCAAGGAATCAAAATGAGACATTAACCTAAGATGATCATTCCAGCTCGACATTACGATTGCCTTTCGTTTCAAAATGGCGGCCCGGAATAACCTGTGTCGCGACAGACAGTAGAGCCAAAACGGTAGTGACGGATTTTATAAAACTTGCCTAAAGTCTTATACTTGAAGCCGTTTAAATTTATGTATACAACATAACCAAGAAGATAGAAAAAAAGGATAGAATAAATGCAAAATTTTATTTGCGAATTAGTCAAAAAGATTGGTGGATTGTGTTCATGATATTATGAAAGATAATACATAACATTGAAGAAATAAAAATAATGCATTTAATTTATAATCATAGTTTTTAAAAAAAACATAGCAAAAAAAAAATTAATAAAATTTTTAATGTATGATGCAATTTTTATTCCGAAAGGGAGGAGCACGCTAGACCACATCGCCAAATAGACCACATCGTAAAACAAGTACTTGAAAGACGATGGGAAGTAGCTTAGGAGGTCCACGCCCTCCCTATTAGTCACTTTCAATGCAGCCTATGGTTCTGTGGACAGGAGCTGTCTTTGGAAAATCATGACCGAACTGGGAGTTCCCGGTAAGTTGGTAAGATTGAAAAAGGCGTGTACGAATGAACCCAAATGTAGTCCTAATAAAGGAGAAGTATCTGAAGTCTTCGAAGTTCGAACGGGCTTACGGCAGGGAGATGGACTATCACCGATGCAGTTCAACTTAGCCCTGTAGAGGGTAATAAGAACAACATCACAGGAAAATGGAGGGAATCATCAAATACTTGGATACGCAGATAGCATAGCTGGTCTTGGAAGTAATAAAGAGGATATTGAGAAACTAGCTAAGATTCTAATAAGAGAGGGAGAGCAGATCGGTCTACAAGTGAATGAGGACAAAACAAAATATATGATAATAAACCGAAAATTTCACCTCAATAACAGGATCTGCGTAGAACAAAATCATTCCCGAGAGTAGAAAAATTCAAATACCTCGGATCCACAATAACCTCAATGAATGACCAACGGCCAGAAATACACCAGCGCATAACTAAAGCGAACAGAGCTTTCTTCTCCATTTCATAGCTATTAAAATCCCGAAAAATCTCAAATTAGGCGTTTACAATGCTATGATAAAGCCAGTTCTCATATATAGCTATGAGACCGGGACACTAACCAGCACCCTAGAAAAAAGTGTTGACTGATTTGAGAGAAAAATCCTCCGCACGATAACCGAAGCGATCTGGTATGGGGGAGTACTAACACATGGAGAAGAAATACCAATAAAGAACTGCTTATAGAAAATGGTCAATGAATACCTCACGATATGAAGGCACGGAGGTTAAGATGGGCGGGTTATCAAGCTCATAGCAATCCATCTGGGAGCCTTTACGTAACAATCAACGCCTGAATAGAAGACAAAAGACTACGTTGAAGGCCAAAAAGCCGATTGATAGATAGAATCAGCAAAGTTACAATAGAGCTGCGAGCAGATAAATGGAAAGAAATAGCCCAAGACAGGCAGAGATGGAGCAGGTTTGTCAAGGCGGCAAAAGATCTTCATGGTCTCTAATGCCAACAGAAAATAAATGTAATAATTTATAGTGTTTTTAGAAACTCAGAGTTCGGTGTTTCAAAGTTTTTCCGAATCAAAAAGGGTTTTCATTCAGTTTTTCACCAAGATCAGAAAAAATTCAATATTTCAGTGAGAAATTTCCGCAATTAAACAACATCAATTTTCTTGATTGTGTACCCATATATTTCAAAGAGACAGATTGCGAAGACAATGGAAGCCAATAAAGACAAATGGCGGAGAAAGGGCCGCCGATAGACCAAATTACCTGTACTTGAAGATAAATAGAAACCCTAATGGAAGAGGAATAGACAAAGGGACCCTGGCCAAGGCAATCGAGGCTCTATCGATAATCGAGTAGCTATCGATTTTTATCCTAATTGACTATAAAAGAGGTTTCGGCAAGGCAGACAATGGGAAAGTCTCTCTACATTTCAATCTCCCACTATCAAAGGACATTAGCAACTGATAGGGTCCCTTTCTATAATGGCGGACTACGCCCAATCATTAACTCCTTACGCTCCATTCAGATAAATTATAAGGTACCTAAAAGACAATTTATTTTTCAAGTGTAATAGAATTTTAAAAAAAAAATCTAGTGAGGTGCACGCGTCACACGACTTTCAATTACCACTCTCCTTTGGTCTCATTTGTCCTACCTTTACGACGAGTTAAAGTAGCTCTTCCCTTCTTCCCGCCGACAATATTTCCTAAGAACTTATCTATTCCAAACGATCAACTTCCGGCACCCTTCCTACATTCACAGTGTCTTACAGTTCAAACCCGTAGTCCACTTCAAGAATCCGTGTTTCCTACTTTATTCCTACATCCCTTATCCTATATTGCCCGATCTTCTGGAATTCGATGCCGTCGGAAATCCGCCATGCTTCTTGTTTGTCTATATTCAAATACCTATTTTACCAATTCTTTCCTACATCCCAAAATGACGCAATACAATCATGAAACGAATTTGTATTGAAGTGAATGGTTGTTTAAATTTTCATTTTAAGAATCAACTCATTATATTTATAACATACGGTTTTTTTATTTTTCCTGATATTTGTTTTTCTTTTCATTTCAATTATGTTTTTTTATTATTATTTTTTTAAAACGTTTCTTACTTGTTGTTATTTATATAATCACTGAAGATATTGTATATACTGTATAACTTTTATTAATGTAGTTTTGGTTTTTGTTTTTATTCATTATTGTAAGGACTGCCCAGCGGTATCCCTTCCTATCTTGATTTTATTATTCACATTTAGGCGGGGGGAGGGGGACCCCGCATCAACCTTCTTTTGAGTCTGTAAAGCGTATAATCGGACATGTCAATTGTACCTTGTACGATTGTTAGTATGTCCGTGTAAGTTGGGGCGGGGTGGCCGAATGGGCTAAAGCGTGTGCACTGCACCGCCGTTGCCTGGCAATCTGATCTATGAATCAAAGATATAAAAATAGTCAGGAGTTCGCGTCCCGGTGGCGGGGAGTCTTTTAAATCCCCGCTCACACCCCCTGGCCCGGGAAAATCCCGTATAGCCTTAACGGCGAGG